TTTTTCTCCATATTTTCTGTTCTTATTACATCCGATACATTTTTGTTCATATGATTATTGTTCTGCTGTGAAATTTAGTCTGTTTTTTCCATTGGAGAGTTCGTAGGCTGGTTTTTGTGTGTATCTAAATGGATTTCTATCATTTTCCCTTCTATAAATAATTCATTGTTGCGTATAACTGCATATAATTCTTTTTTTCGTGCTAAAAATATTTCTTCTCGCATGGCATTTCTTTCTCTTCGTGCATTTCCATCTAGAAATTCTGATATTGACAAACTTGAGCCTCGAAAACATTTGTTATTTTCTATTAGATACTTTGTCATTCTTTTACTCATCAACTCTATCACCAGTGGACGATTTATATAGGTTTTTAAGCTGATACTATTGTTACGACCTATTCTATAAGCATCTTCTAAGTAACCAGTCAAGTCGACGTTTAGGAAGTCATAAAATATTTTAATTATTCTACAGTGTAACTCATGTACTGGCTCTATTAGCAGTATTCAGGAAATCGATATAGAACAATTTTTTCACTGGTATTTTCAGATGTATTTTTTATGCATGCTTTCAATAAGTAAAAAAATTCAAAAAGTCAAAAAATTTAAGTAAGGAAATCTTTAATCTACAAAGTATGTAGATTAAAGATTTCCTTACTTAAATTTTTTGTCTCTAATTCCAGTCTTTTTATCTTGTTGGTCGTTTGTTCTATTTCTAATTTTCGTTGCTCGTTTTCTTTTAATAAGTCATTATTTTCTTTTTCTATGTCTAATCTTAATTCAGTGATAGCTTTTTTTATTTCATATTAAATGGTATTCTGTATTTGAGATATAATTGATAGGTTATTTTCTTTTAGTCGTAGAATTATGAGTTCACTCAAATTCTCTATAGTCAAATCAGTGGGCAAATCAACACTTATACCAGGTTCTAGCCTCTCAGGATTTATTGTATCTCCCAACAAACTCAGGTCCTCAGAGATCGTGGAGGTATTGGTCGCAGACGCTGATCTTTTTCTAATCGTTACGTTGTCACTTTCAGAATCAAGTGGTTTCAATTGTATTCTGATGTTTGTTTTTAGGTTATAAATTTATTTTTATTCTTTTTCCTACCTTTGTTCCGTAGTTCTGATATATATTTCTCTTCTTGGTGTAGATCTTAACACAGTTGTGGTTTTCGGTTGAGTATTTTCAATTTTAACGTTAAAGTATGTAGCCAATATCCAAGATGTTTTATTATTTGTTTTCACTTTTAAACGATTTAATTTGTAATATATATATTAAATTTCACTACAAACACTCAACTTCGTGAACACTATGTACAATTCTTCCAATAATAATGCGTTAATTTTATTTAATGTGATGAAAAGAACGGAGCTAATGTTTACTCGAGCACAGTGTCGCCCTATTTGTTGCAGTTGCAGTGCAGTGCAGTGCAGCAGTTGCAGTGTTGCCTTGTTTCATTTCGTTGTTTTATGTATTACTTCTCCAAACTTTAACATGTGAGCATTTAGCCTTTGCTGACGACATAAAGATATATCGTAGGATAAGTTGTGATTTAGATTGTGAAATACTGCAGCGAGATATCGATTGTTTGCATAAGTGGTGCATTGATATCAATCTGAACTTGAATATATCTAAATGCCACGTCATATCTTTTACTAAAAATAGAATTCTTATTACGTTATCCATACTGTGTTAATAATATACGTTTGAAAAAAAAAGGAATCCATTCGTGACTTAGGTATTCAAAATTGTCATTTATACAACACTATGATTGCTTAGTTGTAAAAGCAAATAGAACTCTGGGGTTTATCTTTAGAACAACTAGACCTTTTAAAAACTCGCAAATTATTTTGTCACTCTATACAACACTAGTTAGAAGTTCACTTGAGTACTGTTCTGTTATTTGGTCTCTCTTTTATCAGAACCACATTGACAGAATAGAAGCAATTCAAAAACGCTTTGTTAGATTCTTGAGCACTAAGTTTGGTCTGAGAAGGAAACTTCATTCGTATGAATTAAGACTTAATCATTTTAACATTAATTCTCTTATAAATAGAAGATCTATGTCTGATTTCATTACTCACTATAAAATAATAAATTATAAATGGGACAGTAGCACATTGTTGAGCCTTGTTTTATTTCGTACTGGTAATAATAGAATACAAAAATTATCTTATATACCGATTTGTAACAATAATATATCGTATCACACTCCAATTATTCGCATGTGCAGAAAATATAACAATATATGCAAGGACCTTGATATTTTCCAACAATCCTTGCAATGTTACATTAAGGCTGCCAATTTGTTACTTTAATTTATAGCCGTCATTCTTTTAATGTATATAATATCGAATGTTACGCAGAGCAGTTATTGGAGTGCAAATTTAATGCCGTTTTATGTAATATTTATTTTATAAATGTATTAATTTGTAATCTGTTGCCTTGCTATAAATAAATAAATTTAATTATTTAATTTTTTTATTACCACTGCGGTGGCAAAACAAGCATACAGCCTCTCTGATGGTAAATGGTCACTGTAGCTTATGGACGCCTGCAACATAAGGGGTGTCACATGCGCGTTGCCAACCCTGAAGAGACCCATATATACCCTTTTTGAAGTACCCCATACTGTAGTCTGTAAAGAAAATCTCGGTAGAGAGCTCATTTCAAAGCCTGAGCTTTCGTGGAAGAATGCTCTTGTATTTTTATTATTAAACGGTCCAGTTCTAGATGGCGTTTTAACATACAATATATATTAGTTTTTAAGTTAGACCTTTGGAAACACAACTGTGAAAACCGCAACTACTGCGCCAAATTGGCGCAGTAGTTGCGGTTTCACAGTTGGAGGAAAAATGTATAGACAAATAGACAAAGAACATTTCTGTAAATTATTATTTTGGCTTCTATCGCCCTTATTAGACTCCTCTCATATTGTTTCGATAAAGAATCAAAAATAACTACCCTAAAATATTAAGGAAATTTTTAAATCATATCAGGAGAATTGTTCGGATTAATACCTGCTGCTGATTTTCATCGTACAATCCGCCACAAACTAAAGTTCCATCCCAATCATCTGGATGAGTGGCGGTCTCCACCATGCATTTTCCAAGGCACTTTCTTCCACGCACAACCATTCTTTGGAATCAACTTCCAGCAGTAGTATTTCCAAACCGATGCGACGTTATAACCTACATGAAAAGAGCATATTCCTTTTTAAAAGGCCGGCAGCACACCTGCAATGCCGCTGGTGTTGTGGGTGATCATGGACGGCGGTGGTTGCATTAGATAATGCATTGGAGCATGCGGTTGGACTAAAGACAGCAATAATGTTTTTTTTTAAAACAGGAATATAATAAAGCAAGACACTATGCAAAACATTAAAAATTTTATACTAAAAATTTAATGAATCAAAAATAAAAGAACCCCTAAAATATTGTGGAATTTTTAAATCATATCACAGGCAGATTAAAAACAACTATTGATAACACACACACACACAGACACACACACACATACACGTACATACATAGAGTTAGAATTAAAAAAGTAACGTTCTAACATCAATTCTCAATATATTGACGCTAAAACTATTATCCCTTGTAACATAGAAAACGAGACGGGCAAGTGAGAAGAAATTTTTATAAGAAATTTGTAAATGTCACTTGATGGTTGATCATTGTTTTGTAACGTCAAGTAGCATTACGTTCAGATCTGATATAAATTGAAGCATTTGCGTCATCTATCTCTCTTTAGATCTGCGTTTGGCACGTGTACTTGAATGATAAAATATAGTTAGATTGAGTGCACTTCAAACATTCTTGACCAGAATTTTTTTACGACACTAAGTGGTCGTAATAAAATATTATATATATATATATATATATATATATATATATATATATATATATAATCTACGAGGTCTCTCCTGGAAATCATCGTGTTGAATTTACATTTGAATTTACCTATCATCCCTCACTGGTGCCCCGCCAGCATATAACGTTAGCGTAGGCGAGGTTATTATTCCATTATCGAACCTTTAAAAAAAACTTGCCTGCCAAGCATGGCGACTACTGACGAAACCCTGTCCCCCCACAGGGGATGCCAATGTTCAAGCAGTGGATAGTTAACTGATATAGCGATTATAATATAATGATAATTATGATAACTAGTATAATACCTATACTTTTTTATAAACTTATTTTGTGGTAAAACGGTTAATCTCTTAAAAGCATGCTAATGATTTCAATTTCGCTCTATACTCGTATATTAGTTTTACTAATTGACTTCGTAAAAAATTGGCCCCAATAATAGAGCACTCCGCTACCGAGAAATACTTAATAATAGATTCTGTTCCTTAGAAAAAAAAAATCACTAACGATTGAGTCGTGACAAAAAAAATACAAACTAGTAAATCGATTTTGAAAAAAGTTCTATAGTGCTAGTCTGAAAGTATATTAAGATGAAAAATATAAGAATTTTCCAAAGCGGTTTATAAACGACGGAGTTCTGATATCCTCCATGTGTTGCTATTCCTGACCCTTCAAACCGAAACACAGTCATGCAAACACAATTGCTTCACGGTAGAACCACGAATAGAATAGAGGTATCCAAGCAAACGACTTTTGTACAGTCTCCCTCTGGCTAGCCTAGCTAACCTAGCTGTAACACCAGGGATACCATGCGTGCGTTGCCGATCCGTAAGAAACCTTAGCACGTCATCAGTGACGTTTAGAAGAAATTTAATATTTTGCCCACTAACATTAATATGTTAATACAGGCAACCCTATCAGCTAAGTGATATCGACTTCAAATTGTCCCAATTTAAAAGGTGAGGACATCACTTTTTTTAATCTTATATTATAGATAATTTTATGTTCATTAATCACTATCGCACATTAGTGTAATCAGTATCTTATCAAACAATATTGATTGAAGAAATTATCTTATCTGAGATTCAAATCTGGTTTAGAACAAATAAATTTTGGCAACTCATTTCGAAATACGACAAAAGTGTACTTTTTATTCAGTATTAAACTTGTGAATAGTGTTGACAATTTGTAATTTGCAGTGAAGGAATTACTAAATACAAAATGTACAAGTTGATCTGTTTATTAATATTGTTGACGATCACTTGTGAGGTCATGGTCGCTGATGATGTCACTGATGGCACTGAGCTTGTCTTTTCACTATTGGTAAGGATTTCAATATTTTAAAACATATTTATACATAGATCTGCAAATCTGTCTATAATGTTTTCGCTTTTATTAAAAAAATAGGCTCAGGAAAATGGTTAGGATTTAGTTGCGATAAAAGAGTATGTAATAAAAGTAATTTAGCGACAGACCCATAAAATAATATAGCACTGCTCAATTTTATAATCATTTCAGTCATTAGTAGTTAATCCAAGCTAATTTGTATTGGAATTAAGGCAATGATAACAGAATTTTTGATCATGTAACAACAACCAATGTCTGCATTGGATGATAAAAATATAAACTAAAATATAAGGATTTTTCTAAGAATCTTTCAAAGATTCCTTTCGAAAAATCCTTATATTGGATTAAAAATACTTATATCGGAATGCATTTTCAATTGAATTTAAATTCGGTCTATTAATTCATATATTTTAGGATTTTAGAGTTATTATATTCTTGTGTTATTTATACCTGGGCACAAACTATCCAATAAGATCTGTTGACGATGGGCTTAGCATCTGGCAATAATGCAAAACCTCCAAAAATAACAAGACGATGGATCTTAATTAGGTTGAACCCAGGAGACTGATTCACTGTTGTATTGTTTATATTAATATTCTCTAACTACCACTCTCGTTGTAATTTGTAATCTAGTACATTATGTATTATATCAATGTTTATTAAATCAAATGTTTCTCTTATCAGGTCCATCGTCACGGAGATAGAACGCCTGTGGAATCGACTTTGGTCTATTCGAATGACCGTAACACATTAGAGAAACTCTCTGAACCTTATGGATACGGCCAGTTAACTGACGTAAGATTACCAACATTTATAAATTGTAATTGAATATTGTCGATACAGTGAATAATAATAGAAAATTTAAAAGGTGGGGAAAAGGCGTGCGTTTGAATTGGGAAAATACATAAGTCGCCGATACAGTGAACTGCTAGCTCCGCGGTACAATGCTTCTGAGGTGTACATCCGATCCACTAATTCCGCTCGCGCCAAGATGACCATCCTCACAGCTCTGGCTTCTATCTACTATCCTGTTAAAGGAAATAAATGGAGTGACAGCATCAATTGGGAACCAGTTCCTTATACTACTGTACCTGCAAAATATGATTTTGTAAGTTGTCATACACGTCGTTTTGATTGATTATATAAAGTCACATTATTTCATATTATATATAAAAAACAATTATTTAAAATTCATCACAAATTATTCTCATTGATTATACAATATGGTCCTAAGCCAAAGGACTGGGGGCTATTCTCTCCTGATATTCACCATTAGAGAGTTTGCCAGTAATTGCTATGCTTGGCAGGCGAGTTAGCAACCTGAGATAGGTTTTGGTAATGTTTTAAGACGGATACTGCTGCCTATCCTGCGACTATTAAACTTAATGGACGAGCAACTATTAAGTTTACTGATAAGAGATGACTAGGGGAACTCCCTAAGTCGCCTCTTACAATACCCGCGGGAAAGGAAGAGGTGACCCATTTTTTGTTAATGTTATGTTAGTTTAAAGATATTATAATAAAAGAAGCGACATTATTTATTATATTAATAGTCTACACTAAACTACCATTCAGAATTAAAATATAAAGTTTAAAATATAAAACACTAATTTAATAACTGTAACTTTGGAGAAATTCGAAAAACTTTAGTGTAATTGTATTACTAGTTAGTATTGAATTTCCAAATGTTTCGACTATCAGTATTATTCTTCACCAGTTGCAGAATAAGGAAATTAAAAATACGACAAAGTTTTACAATAATAATAGTATAATCGGAATAGATGATGATAATAGTGATAATAATGATGATTATGACAGATTTCATTACAAATTAACATGTTTATTCTACCTCACAACCAATAACAAAGCAATTAAACTTTTTACTTTATTCTTATATTATGTATTATATTGCAAAATAAATTTTGTTTTAGTGTAATTATATTCTTCATTAACATTATCATGATGTTTATTGTAAAAAGATTAAATAATCTAAAGAATAAAGCCAATGGCCATATCGTTATGCTTTGTTTTCATTTGAACATTATCGCATTAAAGCAAGATCATGTCTCTATAAGTAAAATAATAGATAGATAGATAGATAATTGTTTCCTCAAAAAGATTACAATAGTAAACTTATTATAACTATAAATAATATTTTGTCTTTTTAGAACCAAGGCGTTCTAAACTGCCCAACCTTCTCAACATTTAGATCAACTGCACTGCACGCTCCTAATCCAGAATTACAAGAACTATATGCTGATATTCTCGATTTCTTAACCCAAAAGACTGGTAGGAACATAATAGATAGACCTCATCTGTCAACCGTTATATACGATCTTTATATTTCTCAGGTGAGTTTAACATTTTCAAGGCACCTCAAGATATCACAATTATAAGTTTCATTGGCTTTAATTGATCATTACAATGAATTATTTTCCAGCTAAGTTTAGGACACGCACTTGACGACGAAATAGCGGCAGTTTTTGATGAAGTTGAAGAACTGGCTCATCTAGCATTTGATGCAGTGTACGGTCATGAAGAATACAAAAAGTTTGAGGCCGGTAAGAAATTTAAAGTTTTAACAATTTAATTAATTTATTATTTAGCAATCATTCATTCTATAAAAATATACAATTATAATTCAGAATAACGAAGAATCCACTGGTTTGGTCATGTACAAAAATGACAGATAAAATGTTGAGGAAATAGGTACACAATGAGAAAGAAGCTGGATGTTGGTATGGCGAATTATTACTAGATAAAGCATTTGGCACGAAGATAAAATAAACAATAATGTACTTAACAATATGCGTCAAAATAATTATGGATCCAAAATTGTCCTCAGGTGTCCTTCTCAACGAATTCTTCACTTATTCAGAAATGGCTATCGCAGGAAACGACACACAAAGATTGAGAATATATTCCGCCCATGACATTAATGTGTACGCTTTCCAAGCTGTCACAGAAGTTACATCGAGACAGGGTGCACCCAAATATGCAGCAGCATATAGTTTAGAAGTTAGAAGAGTCACAGCAACTGGAAGATTTGTTGTTCTGGTTAGTAAAAATGGTTTGCCCTAATGTCTTGCCACTCCGGAAAAACCTTACTTTTAGTACCTTTACTATGCTTTTTGTAGAGCTTGTTAACGGATAAAAATATAATGAAAACTTTGCCTGACGAGGTTAGAGATAATATATGAGAATTAAATTAAACTAGTTGATTATTTCTTCAAAAATTCATTACAAAGGTTTCCAGGAGGTGGACATGGACACTGTGTATTTCTGACAGTGTACATTTATAGTAATTGAGTCGCTAGTCTTTTTTAACGATCCCTTCCATACCACTAGAGATATATTTGAATCTTCAGGCTGAAAGACATTAATGTATGCATTGCTTCAAGGAGATTTTCAGTAAATACAATTTCTGCTAATTTTGGTGAACATTTTTGGTTTTGATGCTTCGTTCTATATTTCGGGAACCTTGGGTTTTTGGGAGCTCGGAAATTGAAAGCACAATTTAAAAGTTCATCGAAGTTGGACAGGGGTGATAATTGCTGAAAATCATTTTTTAAAATTTGCAATCACATAGGAAATAAAGGAACCATTCTAGCTAACAAAAATAATTTAATTCAAATTAAAAGATAGTGTAATTAGTAATCTGATTTCCAGCCGGTATACCTACCATCACCGGGTGAATCGGAAGTCTACTTGCAAGTCCAAGGCTGTGATTTACTCTGCGACTATGACCAGTTCGTGGAAATAACCAGCAAGAACGCTCTGGACGAAGACACCTGGAGGACTGAGTGTGGATTCACTAACGACCTTGTTATTGACGAATCTACGGTTGCTTAATAGAATCATCGAAACTGTATTGACAAAGTTTAATCATCAAATATAATATAAATAATATAATAAAATTGTAATTAGACAATGTCAGCACATAGAGGGATATTTAAAAAAAATATATATGAGGGATCTTAATGAGAAATAATAGAATCAAAATAATACATTTTAGAAATTAGGTCCGCCTATATTTAATTATAAACTTTCGCGTTGTTTACACATATTTTTAAATACCAAAACCTGATTTTAACGCGATGTTAAAGCGTTTACAAATAAATAGTACCTATATACCTGTTTCTTTATTGCCAATGTATCGCCTGTAAAGGCTTTTACATCGCGCTAAGATGCCAGATGTTGTTAACACTGCTCAGTGTCTCATCTTTGCTGACGATTTGAAGCTATTCATGGCTGTCGGAACTATGGAAGACTATAAAGCTTTACAGCGAGATATTGCAACGTTGAGAGCTTGCAGAGTTGAGACGGCAACTTTGTGGCATGGACTGAGCATAATCATTTGAAATTCAATATTTCAAAGTGTAAATGGACCACATTCACGCGATTTCGTGTTCCCCATTCTTATGTCTATAGTATATCTAGTACGCTGCTTGAACGTGTGTCATAAATAACCGATTTAGGCCTTAGGCTGGACACTGCTTTAACTTTTAATAATCACATAACAAATATTTGTAGCCCTGCATATAAATCGTTAGGCTTTGTGATAAGACAGTCGGCACAGCTTCATGATAAAGATGCAATATTATAATTATAGTAATTTGTACGAAGCATTTTAGAATTCAATTATTTGGAACCCAAATAAAACAAAATACAAGATAATGATAGAAAGAGTTCAGAGGAAATTTGCAAGCTTTCTATATAGTAAACTTTACGGCTACTATCCTTATCTGTACCCATCGCTGTTCGTATCCGGTATGGTGAGTTTAGAACGCTCGAGGTAAGGCGAAAGTGCAATTTGATGGTGCACTATTATCGATTGGTCAACGGCAGAATAGACAATTCTGCAACTCTCAGCCGTTGTTCTTTGTACGCACCCCAACGCTGGATGCGATTGCGTGCACGTTGATTATTATCGGCACCGCCGGTTCGCACCTGTACTGCTCAGTTTGCTCCCACTTATCAGGCTATTTCTCTGCTCAACTCTCTACTTGCTTAGCAGCCAGATATTGATATATTTAATGACAAATTAGATATATTTTTTAAATGATGTTTAAAATTTTTAGGTTTGTAAAATGGCTCAATACACATTTCGGGATATTGTAAGTGCGATGAGCAGTCTATAAATAAATTAATAAATAAGTAAATAAATAGATAAAAGTCCCGATTGTGTATTTAAAAAATTATGTCTGTCTGTAGGTATGTATGTTTATTTCAGTTTTATATAAAATCGACTGCACTAAATTGGACGTTTTTTTTTTCCTGTCGTGATAAGTAATCTAGAAGTGGTCTATTTAATTGGTTTTCAAACTAAAAACTACGCGCACGAAGTCAGGGAAAAAAGCTAGTATCAAAAACCAGTTTATTAGTGCCTTCAGATAGTTACTTACTCACTACTAGGCAATGGTAATATGGATACCGATTCAAATGAGTTCTTCTTGATAGACAGAAAAAGGTCTTCACCTATTTCGATATCGCCCATATTGGTTGATATCTTTTTTCGAATATGTTAAAAATCTATTATATAATATTATTTTTTGGATAATAAACTTTTAACATAACCGTTATTGGACCAGTACATGTATATAGGTAATGTAACTCAAATATATATATATATATATATATATATATATATATATATATATATATATATATTACCTAACCGTATATTGTTAACAATGGGACTGGTAGTCCGCATTACTAACAATCCCTTCCACCCTCCCATTATGACATTTAATATATACATGTTACATAGAATGGAGAAGGATATAGCCTACTTTTTATGCTGGTCAGTAAACATATTGCTATCACGCGAAAGAAGTGGGGGGTAACAGTAAGTACAATATAAGAAAGAAGGAAAGAAAAAGAATTTATTCAGTGTCATAAATAGACATTACATAATAGACAATAATTGAGATGATGGTGATGATGATGACAGTCATTACAGCAGTTAACAAAAAAAAAAAAACAAATTAAAGTTAATAACTCTAAGACTATATCATAGAAATTAACTTTTTAATACTTGAAATGTCAATAATATGCAAATAGATCCTTCGATTAATACAAGTACAGTCTGCCTATCTATTTCGTTTCATTCAGATTGTTCTGTAATTAAAAACAGAACGGTCGTGTCATAGGAATCATTCCTCTAGACCTTAGATTATATAGATAGATAGAGCATCGAGCCTCAAAAACGGGTCAACTTTTTGCCAGCTAATTGTCAAATTAGCTTATTTTTTATCAGTTTTCTATATACTTACGCACATTATTTGTAACATTAGGGATGTTACACACGCATTGCCTACCCTTAAGAAATCTTAAGGGTAGGCGATCAGAGGGAGACTTTGTACAAAAGTCGATTGCTTGGATACCTCTGTCCCATTCGTGTTTCTACCGTGAAGCAGTTATGTTTGCATGGCTGTGTTTCGGTTTGAAGGGTGGGATATGGCGTGAATTTGCTGGGTATAGAGGAATAACACCTGAGTCCTCAGGAATGGCAACGCATGGGGGGTATCATGGGCGAAACAGTATACTCTGTTATATCCATGGTACTGCTCATGTCTATAGGCGACGGTTACCATTTTCCATTAGGTGGGCCGTCAGCTTGTATGCCATTCTAAGTTGTATAAAAAAAGAAATTTTAATCTTTATGTATATTTATTCTAAAGTCCAATATTGATAATAAGACACACCCCTATTCAAAGGCGGGGCACGTGGTCGCCACAAAGAAAACAATAATGGTATTAAATTGATATGATAGATAGATACTCTTTATTATTTCCTCCAAATGATTACAATAGTAAACTTATTATAAATATAAATAATTACAAGAAATAATCGCAATGAGAAAACAACGGGCGGTCTTATCGCTAAAAGCAATTTCTTCCAGGTAACCTTTGGATGGAGAGAAGTAGTTAGGTATAAACAGTTTGATCGGAGGCACGATGAGAATTCTGTTATTTCAAATACATATAGAGTTATAATATATGCAATAATGTAAATATATAAATATCCTTACTTTTTATTAATTTTATTAAATAAATATAATACACACACACACACACACACGCACGCACGCACGCACGCACGCACGCACGCACGCACGCACACACGCACGCACACACGCACGCACGCACGCACGCATATATATATATATGTGTCTACATTACACTGGGTGAGCCTTCCAATACGCTCACCCAGGAAAGCATGAGTACAATAACATATAAAAAGGAATATTAAACAAAAAATAATATAAAAAGATTTAACTGAAACAAAAAACGTCTGAACACAAATACTCTGTGGTCACTCGACGAAACTCCAGCAAGTTGGAGGCAAATACATCCAATTACGGATACTGGCTCAAAATATCATTGAGTAGTTTCAATGCAAGAGATAGGGGAGCCTGCTATATATATATATATATATATATATATATATACATAAGAGAATTAGAGATAAGTTCGCCTTTTGTTACCAATTTATTATTATTACTATATGTTATATCGCAACAAAGAATATATAATACACCTACATAAATACATAAAAAACAAAGTTATAAAATCGTTATGTGTATAAAGGAAAAGGTGCTAAGCAGACAATGAAAATATAATGATATATATGCACTATATCCTCAAAGGATTGGATTAGCCAAAATAATCATTATTTTTAAGTGCAATAGAATTTTATTATGGCAAAGTTGTAAACGTAATTACTTAATAAAAGACAGTAGATTACGAGATATAAAAAAAAAAAAAACAATATGATGTTTGCTCTGAAAAAAAGAAACAATAATTCACAAATTCCAACGGGTCATCATCATCAGCATGATATGAATGTTCACTGCTGATTATAGGTTTCTCCATAGGTAGCACCAGTGAAGGGTGATAGATGAGAATGAAAACAGGCCAGTTGCCCATCGTGATGAATTCATCAGGAATTAATCATGATAGTTTACAGAGGGAACCGCGAGGAGGTCGGCCTGGTTGGGTATATTGATAGCAATGGGATTCTCGGTCTCCATAACTAACAATCCCTTTCCCCCCTCTATGGAGAGGACTATGCTCGGAGTCTCTTTGCGTCATAGAACCCGAAAAATTTTGTTAGTGCTAGATATGGGAGATGTGATACATATAATAATACAAATATTATCCTTACTCATTATTATATATATATAACAGATACGAGTAGATCTATATAAATTTATGTTAAAATTCCTCTCTTCCTTTGTACATATTATATTTATTTCGTGTACATAGCAACGTACATAATAAAATTTCTCATATTACTCATGTTGTAATTGCACTAATATTTGACGTAACCATTTTTATTAAATATATCATTTTTTAGATAAACTGTAGACCAATATAGCTATGTTTGTATATCACATACAAAATACATTCCTTATCATTTATATTCCTCTATAAATGCCTATATATTTATGACCGATTACGAACTAAATTAATCCGGAGAACGGCGGTAGGCTCGTCTCTTATCGTCTATATCTAAATATGAATTGAATGAAATAAAAAATAAAATTTTAAATAAAAGAGTATCTATCGAAATATAAAATGTCTGTCCAGTTTTAAAACAAAACTTAAGGACTTTTATTTGAGCAAGTTGTCATCTCCTTAATATGTTTATATGTCTGGTTAGCATACTTATTTCTTGCATACTTTTCGTGAACAGTATTCATATATTTTTATGTATTTGTGTAGGCGTTTATATGCATGTATGTATATGTGTATGTATATGTATTTGTATATGTGTTAGTATATATATATATATATATATATATATATATGTGTGTGTGTGTGTGTATGTATATATATAATAATGAGTAGGGATAATATTTATATTATTGTATGTATCACATCTCCCATATTTAGAACTAAGAAAATTTTTCATCGTGCCTCCTACCAATTTGTTTACTCCTCTCCATCCAAAGGTTGCCTGAAAGAGATCGCCCTTAGCGATAAGGCCGCCCATTATTTTTTCATTGTGATTATTTCTTGTAATTGTTTATATTTATAATAAGTTTACTATTGTAATCTTTTGAAGGAAACAATAAAGAGTATCTATCTATTTGTGATTGGCGGTGTGAGCATTTCATATTATAATGTTACGTTCATCATCATATCAGCTTTTAACTGTCCACTGGTGAACATAAGCCTCCTCCTTGAGGGGTTTTGACAGTAGTTGCCACGGTTGGCAGGCTGATTGGCAACCGCAGTTAGGCTTTGGAGATGTTTTAAGAGGGACGCTGATACCCATCCTCGCCCTCCTTTAGTCGCCTCTTACGACACTCACGGGAAAGGGATGGCCTATTCAATGACGGGATCAGACAGCGACTATTACGTCCATCAGAATGGTAATAAATGCCAAATGCGGGGGGAAGAGATGGTATTTTTTTTAATAAGTGATAATGGAATGGTATCCCCGCCCGCGCTATCGGTATACGCTGACAGGGCACCTGTGAGAGATTATAGGCGAGGATGAAGCAGGTCAGTTAGCCCATCGTGACGAATTGGACAAGAATTATTCACGTTGGTTTCCAGAGGGAATCACGTGGAGGTCGACCTAATAGTTGTGTTTGCATGGCTGTGTTTCGGTTTGAAGGGTGGTGAATATGGCGTGAATTTACTGGGTACAGAGGAATAACACCTGAGTCCTCAGGAATGGCACGAGTTTTTGTCCTTGTTCATGGTACAGTTAGACGATTTGTGTTAAAACAATATAATGTGTTGATTGGCATAGTTACAAAGTAGAGATATTAAGTAAAAAAATATTGCTTTTAATTCTTGTACTATTTTTGAGTTGAAACCATAAAGTTTGTAACTTATTGCTCTTTATCTTCGCACTGTTAATGTATAAAAGTCGTGGCTTCATGTTCGTTGAGTCATTTCAGCTTCTTCCATCCTTAATCGCTCTATAGCGACCTGACTACGGACCTGGTCTTCTCCTGGAAAAAGCTTCTATAGGAAGTAGGTATGAGTAGACTTAGGTGCAGGCAGGCAATAAAATGGTTTTTTTTTATACCACTGAGGTGGCAAACAAGCGACCGGCTCACCTGGTAAGTGGTTACCGTAGCCTATGAACACCTGCAATACCAGAGGTATTACGCGTGCGTTGCCGACCCTGAAGAACCCTCTTTACTCCCCTTTTGAAGAACCCCATGCTGTAGTCTCTTGGGAAAACCTCGGCAGGAAGCTCATTCCACAACCTGAGTGTTCGTGGGAGGAAACATCTCTGAAATCGCGCAGTGTGCGTATAGCAATTGCAGTGAGTGGACGAACATTTTTCTCATTTCGTAACAGTATTCGCGACGCGACGTGTATGTAATAAAAATCGACAGCACATAAATATTTTACAGGACGATACCTTACGTGAAAAGTGTTGTTACATAGTTAGATATAGATGGAAAGAAAAGCTTAAGTGGGGCAGAGTATCGCAAGTGAGCGAAAGAGAAAGATGATAAATAAAACGATGTGATTAAAAAACGCGGAAATTAGTCGATTTCTTTGGTAAAAAATACACAGATATTAAAGATATCACATATATCGGAAATAACACTGATCCAACACTTGACGTTCCAAGTGGTAGTGGCGCTACGTCAACTGAACTTTCTTCAGTATCTCCAAGTGCAGATACTTTGATCGTTGTGGCAAGTGGATTAAAGGAAGAAGTCGAAGATATCCCACAAGTATCAGGAGTGCAGCCCAGCAGATCTGGAGCTGTGCAAAATCAGCGACGATCCAGCCAAATGGATAATCGACGAGTTCACGCAAGATTACATTTGTAAGAACGGAGCCAATCAAAACATCCAAAATAATTTTCCTAAGAGCGGGCGAATTTACAAAGATGTCAAGAAGAAGCAGTTTGACAACTGCTTCTTCTTGACATCTTGACAGATGTTACAGTTGTCAAAATATTTATTTGAACGTCAGCTTTTAAATGACATGACGAGAAATTTGGTTTATTTCATAATGGAAATTATTTGATGTCCTTAGAGCTTATTGCTGAGTTCGATCTGTTTTTAGCAAAACACATTACACGTTTTACGAATCCAGGCTCAGGTTATACGAGTTATCTTTCTTCAACAACATGCGAAGAATTGATTCAGCTTATGGGAAAAAAGTTTTAACGACAATTGTAATAGAAATATTAAAACATCTCATGTTGACCAGCTCACTTATATAATCAGATATGTCCTGCCTAATGGATCACCTATAGAACGTTTCCTCAAGTTCATTCCAAACACCGGTCATTAATCACAACAAATGACAAATGCTGTTACCTCAACTTTAACTTAATTGGGAATTGACATTTCATACTACCGAGGGCAATCTTATGACAACGCAGCTAACAAATCAGGCATCTACAAGCTAAAATAAAGGAAATTTCTTCTCTTCTCTGTTCAGAATACTCGCTCAATTTAGTAGGCGAATGTGCAGCTAAAAGCAGCCAAGAGGTTTGCTCGTTCTTTTCTCTACTCCAAGAGTTGCACAATTTCTTTGCAGTGTCAACTCAGTGTTGGGAACTTCTTCAAGCCCATTTCATCATCAAAAGTCTATCAACGACACGTTGGTCAGCTCGTGCAGACGCATGCAAAAGTTTACAAGAATCCTGGAGTGAAATCCATACAGAGTTAGTCTTCATCAAAAATGACACATAACAAAAGAGAGCAGTTATATGCGAAGCAAGAGGAACATTTCATTTGAAACTGGAGCGTTTAGAAACGGCTGGCATGACTGTTTTTTTTGGAATGTTTTCTGGATCGCATTAACGCCACAAGTAAAAAACTTCAGAGTATGGAAATTAACATTACTATTGTCATAGAACTGTACGAGGCTTTAATACATTTTGTTGGTGAAACAAGAGAGAATTTTGATGATTTCGAAAAAAAAAAGCAAAAAACTATCCTTTGTACGAGAATACGAAAAGATTTTCGACGCAATAAAAAGCGTAAGCTACTTCCTGGCGAGACAAATACAGGTGAAGAGATGCAACAAAAATATGGCCGTGAAAATTTTAGAATAAATACTTTTTTTTTAGTAGTAATTGATACATTGTCAGAAGAATTCCAAGAACGACGAGATGCTTACAAATTACTCTACAATAAATTTCATTATTACCAACCTGACGAATCTAAACATCAGAAGTCGAAGAAAAGGCCAAGCATTGCAAATGATTTATTCTACTGACTTAGAAGACGATTTTTCAGAAGAATGTCTCCATTTTCATGCTCACTGCAGTATAAAAAATGAGGCTCGGTACAGTGATATCAGTTTGTTGAAATGATTATGAACGGTCTTCAAACCACGTAGCCACCCAAACGTGAATATTGCTCTTCGTATGTGTGTGTGTATTCCCGCCAATAACTGTACTGGAGAACGATCGTTTTCTTGTTTGACATTTTGTAAAACACTTATTAAATCTTATCTTGTATGAGAATAAACTTGTACTTAAATAAATAAAACCATTTTAATTAAATGTTATTTAAATGTTCCATTATCTCTAAAACCCCAGAAAATATTACAAAGTAGCAGATATTTAAGTAACTAAATTCCTGAATCGATTTTGATAAAAGTTGGCAAAAAAGTAAATTCATTATGTACTCAATATGATGGACGCTGAGAAAGGAGTGGCTGATACTTACTACATGGCCTGGGTCCTAGGGCGGCCAAGACTGCAAATACAGTGGTATTAATGACATGTGACACATACATATACTCACATGTATTTTATTTTGTTTTGTATAGTACGTTTTTTTATTTAATTAAAATTTTTACATAATGCAGTACGTCCTAGTTGGCGGCCTTGATTCCTGAGACACAGGACCCAAAACTTTGATTTAGTTTTGGGTCTAGTCTCTCACAAGTTTTACAGTGTCATATACGCATTTATACATGTATAAATACATTATTATTATATTAAGTTATGTATACATATATACATTATATTAAGTTATGTGTTGCGTGTTTTCTGTAAAATTTGTGGAGAAAATAGAATATTATCTTATCTAATCTTATGTTAACCCAATACGTGCAGTGTTAAATTAACATTTATTAAAATTCTTAATTAATAAACAATTTGCTTACGAACTATGTACGTGCTCTACACGCATAACTATAGATATGTCTCCATATTTATTAATAGTATTCCTAGCGTATTGAACAGTTTCAAATTCTCTCGAATCAGACAGCGAGGATATAATTTTTTTTTAATATATTACTTTAATATTACTAAGTTGGAAAAAAATCATACGACTCATCTGACGGTAAGCAGTTATCGTAGTCTATGAATGCCTTTTTTTTATACAACTTAGAATGGCAAACAAGCTGACGGCCCACCTGATGGAAAGCAGTAACCGTCGCCTATATACACAAACAGTGTCATGGACATAACAGAGTGTACTGTTTCGCCCATGATATCCCCATGTGTTCCCATTCCTGAGGGCTCAGGTGTTATTCCTCTGAACCCTGTAAATTCACGCCATATTCGGCCCCACCCTTCAAACCGAAACACATCATGCAAACACAACTGCTTTACGGTTGAAACACGAATGGGACAGAGGTACCCAAGCAAACGAGTTTTTTACAAAGTCTCCCTCTGGTAATGCCTGCAATACGGGGGCATTACACGCACTTTGCTAACCCTGTAGAAACCTTTATACCCCTTTTTTGAAGAATTCCCTGCTGTTAAGATTTTATGTTTTAAAAATTCTATGTTCATTAATCACCATTGCGTTTAGTGTAATCAGTATCATTTAAACCAATATTGATTGTAGAACGTTAAATTATCTTATCTCTGAAATCCAAATCGGGATTAATAGAAATTTTGGCAAATCATTAAATTCGGCAATAAAGGTGTACTTTTATTTCAGTATAAAACTTGTACATAGTGTTTACAATTTGTTATTGGCAGCGAGAGAGTCGTTCCGTACAGAATGTACAAGTTGATCTGTGTGATACTTTTGATGATCTCTTGTGAGGTCATGGTCGCTGGTGATGTCACTGATGGCACTGAGCTTATCTTCTCACTATTGGTAAGGAGTCACAACATTTTCACATTTTTTGGAAATATGGATCTGTAAAACTTTGTAATAACTTCTCTATTATTTTAGAAATAGAATTTCAAAATTAAATATGGAAAAAGTGATCAAGATCTAGTTACTTATAACTACAACAAGATTTTTGCGATAGAAGCGTAAAATAAAATAGCATTGCTAAATTGTATAGTCCATCCAGTCATCAATAAGAATAAAATAAAAATATTCTTTACTCAAATAAACTTATTTACAAGCTGTTTTAAATTGTCTAATATTTATAATTGGGTTCGGGATGTTGTTATTTGTTGAGAAGAACCCGCAGAAAACTCAACAGTTACTCTTTTCAAATTATTATGTACAAGATAATTTTACATTTCAATGGGTATTGTGATTACAATTAGAGTTAAGTTCTATTTATATGTATCATTAAAAGGAAAATTAACAAGCAAACATGAGCAGACTAGTACCCACAAGCAGCATCCGTTTCTGAGTATGACGGATTCAGCCAGTCATCATAGTGCTTAACCATATTTTAGGGAACTCAATGACCTAGCCCATTACGTCGCTGCCGATCAGGAACTTATAGTAAGAAAGACTAGTTTCAAGTTACTTGAATATATTATGAGTACAAATTACATCAAGACACTATGTGATTATTAAAATACCCATACATTACATGATTATCACTAAGTTAATAATCGAAATGTAATTTTTTATAGATATTATTAATTGGTAAAATAATCATAATATTGTGTATATAGGTCTTAATCTTAATTGAAATAGGTAATACACGGTAATTTGTATTGGAATTAAGAATTTTTTGGTCACGAAACAACAACTAATGTCGGCTTCATAATTTAACGGACTACAGCCGAATGTGTCTTAAAATATATTATTTTGGAGTTATACTCTTGTATTGTTTGGATTGTTATTCTTCAAATGACACACTAATCTGTAATTTAATATCTTATTTAATGTTCATTAAATCAAATATTTCTCTCATCAGGTCCATCGTCACGGTGATAGAACGCCTGTCGAATCGACTTTGGCCTATAGCAATGATCGTAATACTTTAGAGATACTTTGTGAACCATTTGGATATGGCCAGTTAACTGACGTAAGTTTATCTAATTCTAAATGATTTTAAATAAGTGCCACCCCTTTTTAATTGCGGTGACCCCTTTAAATTGTGCTTTCAACTTTGAGTCCCCGAAAATGTTATATTATTTAGGAAGCATGTTCTAAAGACTCGAAACAAAAAATATTTACTGAAATTAGACAGAAACCTTATTCGCTGATAATCCCTATTATTTTCAGATTAATTCTTGGACGTGACAGAGGAGGTACTAAATAAACTTCAAAATGTAGCTATCAGATTTGTCTTCGGTCTATGCAGATATGATCATGTCTCCGCTTTTTGCGTTCAGTTAAAATGGCTCCCAATCTGACTTCGTCTTTATATTTAATGTTCCCAACTCTCTGTCTTAACACTGCTCCCGGTTTCAAATCCTGTCCCCTGTCTCTCGTCCCAGGAGTACTTGCCTGGTCCAGGTCAAAGTATTATAATTAACACCATTTTTTTAAATCCTATCTCATTCCGTGCTGCACAACTGTAAAACACACTTCCTTCTAACATACAGGATAGTCATTCCATTACTTCCTTTAAGAAAAGTTAAATCTCATTTTTTAACTAATAATACAAAATAATACTTAATATTGTGCCTATTATATGTATTGTATTCGTGTATATATTTTATATTCTTATTTATTATGTTTTTGTACATATATATTTATTAACAATTTTTGTGTGTTTATTTTATTCGTATCCTATTTACCTTATACACCTTTTTTTTCCTGTACTCTTCCTGCATTACTCGCTAATAATTTTTTTTTCACTGTATTGGGTTGGTTGGAAGAGATCTCTTTTAGAGATAAGCCAACCTTTGCTAACAATGATAAACTAATCGCTGTATTTTTTTTTTTAAGTTTATAATAATTGAAATTTTATAGGCAGGGAAAAAGCATGCATTCGCATTGGGATATTACATACGTCGTCGATACGGTGAACTTTTAGCTCCACGGTACAATGTTTCTGAGGTGTACATCCGATCCACTGATTCCACACGCGTCAAGATGACCATTCTCACAGCTCTGGCTTCTATCTACTATCCTGTTAGAGAAAATAGATGGAGTGACAGCATCAATTGGGAACCAGTTCCTTATACTACTGTACCTGCAAAATATGATTTTGTAAGTTACACAGTTTTGACTAATTAGTATAACAAAGCATTGCCATATAATAATAATATTGTCCTAACCAAAGAATGAGGTCAATGGCGATATTGCTGCATCATTGGATATTACCGCATCACAGTTATGATCATTTCTTGATCAAGAAATATACATATTAATATGTTGAAAAATTATCAATAGTAAAATTTTATTTTATATTTTTTAGAACCAAGCCGTTTTAAACTGCCCAACCTTAACTACATTTACGTCAACTGCAGTGAACGAGCCTGATTTAGAATTACAAGAAAGATATGCTGATGTTCTTAATTTATTAACACAAAAGACTGGACATGATATTATAGATAGACCTCGTCTGACAATTATGTTGTATGATACTTACATTGCTCAGGTGAGTTGGACATATCCAGATACTGTGATACAACTAATTAAGGTTAATTTACGCTAACTTATTAAGGATTTTAATTAGTCATTTCGATTATTTAATTTTTAGCTAAGTTTAGGACTCGCGCTTGATGAGGAAATAGCGGCAGTTTTTGATCAAATTGAGAACCTGGCTTATCTTGGATATGACGCAGTGTTCGGCGATGAAGAACATAAAAAGTTTCAGGCCGGTAAGTATTTAAAATTTTAATAAAATAATTTATATATTCATGTTAAAGGTTAACGAAACAAATAAATACTACCAAAGAGAATGAAAAGCTCCTGTATAACTTTGGATGGAAGGATATGGCTAACATTAGAATAACGTCATATTTATTTTCTATCCAAACTTACAATCGCTACCAACATATGTTACGTATTCATTATCAAAAGGCATGAAGTAAATAGTGAACATTCAAAGTTGTCACACGGCACGATTGAGACATTGAGTCGTTTACTGCAAAAAAAACCAAAGGTCATATTAAATAATTGCAGATTTATTTAAGAAAATAAAATTCATTCGCCGATTTAATGAAAAAATAAAATATATAAAGAACTTGATGTGAATCTTCATGGCAAGCCAATCGTCGAGCTGAGATAGATAGAGTAATCTAGAATTAATTAAATAATCTGCATCCAGGTTAAGAATGGTCCCAAATTTGTCCTCAGGTGTTCTTCTCAATGAATTCTTCACTTATTCAGCAAAGGCTATTGCAGGAAATAACACAGAAAAATTGAGGATATATTCTGCTCACGACGTTAATGTATATGGCTTGGAAGCTGTCACAGAAGTCACATTTAGATTAGGTCCACCCAAATTTGCATCAGCTTATAGTTTAGAAGTTAGAAGAGTCACATCAACTGGAAGATATGTTGTTCTGGTTAGTAAAAATTTTTGGTATTGAAAATTCTTTTGCTCTCATACCTTGCTACTTTCGAGGAGTAGGCACTATTTTTACTATGCCCTTTGCATCAAAAATTATTGATAGCTAAAACCTCGACTTCACTATAAAATTTTGCAAGGTAAGGTATTATAGATGTCCTCATCTACTTGTCTACTACATGACTTCATCCTTGAAGTCGAGCCATTTGGCTTTAATAAATTCATCAGAAATTAATCACAAAAGTTTCCGGGGGTCATGGAGATCGACCTGATTTATGTATGTAGGTATGTTGTATAACTGCAATGGTGTCTCTAGCATTTGTTAACTATCCTTTCTCCACTTCAGAGACTACTTTTCTTTCTTTTTTTTCAGATTAAAAAACAATAACGCTTACAATGCTGTTTGTAATCACATAGGCAATAAGAGTACCATTATAGCTGTTTTTTTTTTTTATACTCTAAAAGTGGTAAACAAGCATACTTGCAGGCGGCCTGTTGGTAAATGGTCATTGTAGCCTATGAACAACTGCAAATAACTTTAATACTTTCTTTTTAAAGAACCTTACACTGTAGTCTCTTAACTTTGATGGTCTGAATTTTCAGCCGGTATACCTACCATCACCGGGTGAACCGGAAATCTACTTGCAAGTCAAAGGTTGTGATTTACTCTGTGACTATGATCAGTTCGTGGAAATAACCAGCAAGAACGCTCTGGACGAAGACACCTGGAGGACTGAGTGCGGATTCACTGATGACCTTGTTTTTGACGAAGCTTCGTTTAATTAGAAAATTTGTAACAAAACGATATTAATTAAACACTTGACGAAAATATAATAATATCAAATCATTTATTTGCAGTCACATGTTTATTTATACTTACCTAATTTCACATTTTTGCCTAATAGCAGAAACAAGAACTACATTACAATCGTTAACTATCCACTGTTGAACATAAGCCTTCTTCATAAGGGGAGATTTGATAGTAGTTGCCAATCTTGGCAGGCGGGTTGGCAACCGCTGTTAGACTTTTAGGGATGTTTAATTAGGGACGCTGCTGCCCATTTCTCTACTATTAAGTTCCCTTGGTCGCCTCTTACGACACCCGCAGGAAAGGAATTATTCTATGCCGGGATCATACGGCATAAAATACGCTATTAAAAAGGCAATAACATGACCTAATTGGGCTAGATATGAGAATAGTGAACTTTTTTTTATACGACTTAGAATGGCAAACGAGCTGACGGCCCACCTGATGGAAAGTGGTAACCGTCGCCTATAGACATGAGCAGTACCAAAATCCAATCCTCAAAATCCCTTCACACTGTCTTTTACCGTCCATGCTGCTAGATTGTAGAATTCTCTTCCCATATCCATTTTTAGAAAAGACTTAAAGAGCGCCTTCTATCTTTATGAACATATATTTATTTATCTATTTAGGTATATTATACGTTTATATATATATCCTATTTGCACAGATCCAGTCTAACTAACACCAGAGGGAGACTTTGTACAAAAGTCGTTTGCTTAGGCACTTCTGTCCTATTCGTGTTTCTACCGTGAAGCAGTTGTGTTTGCATGGCTGTGTTTAGGTTTGAAGAGTGAAGAAGGGTTTAAATTTACAGGGTACAGAGGAATAACACCTGAGTCCTCAGGAATGGCAAAGCATGGGGGGTATCATGGGCAAAATAGTATACTCTGTTATGTCCATGGTACTGCTCATGTCTATAGGCGACGGTTACTACTTTCCATCAGGTAGACCGTCAGCTTGTTTGCCATTACAAGTTGCATAAAAAGAATGTACATATGTATGTGTATATATATATATAAAACAGAAAAAGTAATTACAAATTTTAATTTCAAAATTCAATTAAAAATAGTCAATCAAACGTTAAATTGGCTAACAAAATTTTACAAATTTTTGATATTCAATGTTCTGTCTGTATAATCTTAGGATAAAACACTTCAAAAACTAAAATAGGTCATGAGACGTTTACGTTTTAATGAATGAGATAGTGAAAGGTGCCTGTGGGCGATATAATGGACTGTACATTGATGTATTTGATGTAATTAAACAATGGGTTTATAGGAAAATAACTATAATAAAGAAAGCTACGGAAGACAAGTCTGTCGTAGTCACGACAGCGAATAAGAGCAAAGTGACAATTGTAAAAACAAAAATGTATAAAAATACAATAAAAATGAAATGTATAAAATAACTATATAACGTGTTTCAACCGTGAAGCAGTCGTGTTTGCATGGCTGTGTTTTGGTTTGAAGGGTGGGATATGGCGTGAATTTACAGGATACAGAGGAATAATACCTGAGTCCTCAGGAATGGCAACGCATGGAGGGTATCATGGGCGAAACAGTATACTCTTATGTCCATGGTACTGCTCATGTCTATAGGCGACAGTTACCATTTTCCATCAGGTGGGCTGTCAGCTTGTTTGCTATTCTAAGTTGTATAAAAAAATAACGAAGGAGTTTGCAACAGTACTCATGTCACAGATAACATAATACAATACCCCATGCTGTTGACTTTCGCATAAAGTTACTCTCTGGTAAAGCCTGGTGAGTTCCTTCCGAATAAATAATAACAACAACCAAAACTACTACAATTATTAAAAACAAATTACTATTCAAAAGCAAGGTGACCAATTATACTCATTCACTGAGTATTGTACTCTTTTTTTTCGCAAACCGTACTCTTTTTAGATCCTGTACTCTGAATGTACTCATTTCTATAATTTTATACTCATTTGTATTTCTAAAACATTTTTAAGATTATTTTATTCCAATTCTATTAATTTTTTTAGTATTTAAAATTATTTTAACAGTGATTCGAATTTCATTAGAATTTCACTAGAACATATCCCAAATGAAAATTTAAAAGTTTTAATAGAAATTTCCTTATGTTGTCCACTAGGTAGCAATGCTGCTGTTGAAAGGGTATTTTCACTAGGAAATGATTATTGGTGCAGTGAGAAGTTGCAAATTTCTGTAAAAACATTATCTGTCGATTAAACAGTCAAATTTAATATGCAAAATGAAAGTTGTTCGGATGTGGCTACATTATTAGACGAACATCCGCATTTAGCAAAAGAAAAAATCCACTCCGAAGAAAAATATGTTTTTAAAATAAAATCAGGTTTATATTTTTTTTTATTATTTTTTTTTCACCTACGAGTATGTAATACTTGCAAAGTGTACTCTTTTTGAACAAAAAATAGTTGGTCACCTCACTCAAAAGAGCTTTTGTATAAGCCTATTTAAATTAAGTCTATACTGAACTAGTTCAAGGAAGTAGTGGATAAAATGCGCGAATTTCAGAAGTAGGAAAACTAATGAAATAGTCCATTTTTATATCATCATCATCATCATCATATCAGCCTTCAAGTGTCCAGTGTTGAACATTAGCCTTCCCCTAGAGGCGTTTTGCTAGTAGTTGCAACGCTTGGCAGGCGAATTAGTAACCGCAGTTAGGTTTTGGAGATGTTTGAGGAGGGACTCCGTTACCCATCCCTCGCCCTCCCTTAATCATCTCTTACGACATCCACGGAAAAGGTAAAGGTGACCTATTCTATGACAGGACCACACGGAAATCTTGGGACCACACGGTATTGATTTAAAACCGGAATTATTGAATTTTGATAAAAAAATTATGGGACCGATCTGTACTAAGATCTGTAAAAAAAGTTCTTAATCGATTTAAAACCCATGGAATTATGAAGTATGTAACAAACATATTTTTTTATGTATGTTAATCGAGAACTTCCTTTTTTTGAAGTCGGTTAAAAATAAAACATACACCAGTTTTTAAGTTAGACCTTCAAAACACACAACAGTGAAATCTGTATTCATTTGGGTGCAGTAGTTTTTGCGTCATGCCGGAACAAACACGCAGACAGGCAACATTGCTATAAATTATTGTTATGACTTCTATTGCTCCTATGATGTAAATAGTACATAATTTTTTTTAAAATATGTTACAGTTTTTGTTTTAATTACTTTACAATTTTATTATTCATTTGTTTATTTAAATAATTTTATTGAATGAAATAAAATATGGTACAGAAGGTGGACTTTTTTTGAATGGGTGAAAATGGATTGGTAACCCTGCCCGCGCTATCGGTATACACCGACGAGGCACCAGTTGAAGATGATAGGTGAGAATGAATGCAGGTTAGTTGGCCCACCATGATGAATTCGACAAGAATTAAACATGATGGTTTCCAGGGGGAACCGCGTGGAGGTCAATCTGAGAGGGTATATTGCTAGTAATGGGGCTATTAGATCCCATTACTAACAATCCCTTTCCCCTCTAAAGGTAGACTTAATGCTAGTAGAATTCTCTACCAGTCAACCTTTGGGATGAACAGTGAATCACGAACGCGGTACTTCATTATTGGGATAGGTAGAGAAAATAACAACTAATAATGTATGTTTATACACAATAAATAATAATATATATACCATTAATTGATCCCCCTTCCTAAATGGGGGGTTTTACCAATGGTTGCCACGCTTGGCAGGCGGGTTGACAACTGCAGTTAGGCCTTTAGTGATGTTTTAAGAGCGACGCTGCTGCCCATCCCTCCACTTTAAGCTCTCTTAGTCGCCTCTAATGATGCCGCCATGGGAAAGAAAGGGTTGGTCTTTCCTATGCCAGGACCTAAACGGCTTAATAATGCATATCTATACACAATAAATAGTATTTACATAAATAACATAAAATATATATATTTTTTTAATTATTTATTGCACAATTTATTTACCCGAGGGAGACTTTGTATAAAAGTCGTTTGCTTGGACACCTCCGTCCCATTCGTGTTTCAACCGTAAAGCAGTTGTGTTTGCATGGCTGTATTTCGGTTTGAAGAATGGGATATGGCGTTCATTTACAGGGCACAAAGATATAACACCTGAGTCCTCATATATGGCAACGCATGAAGGGTATCATGGGCGAAACAGTATACATTGTTATGTCCATGGTACTGCTCATGTCTATAGGCGACGGTTACCACTTTCCAAAAGGTGGACCGTCAGCTAGTTTGCCATTCTAAGTTGTTTAAAAAAAATACAATTTAACTTTGTACAAGTGGCGATCTTAATGCCATATGGCATTCACTACCAGTTTACCATTAGGTAAAAACAGAAAGCGTATGAAGGGCAGATGTGGTGAAAAATATGTGACATAATTATAGCAACATACTGAAATAATTATACATAATGTATTATTATGTATAAAATAGGCCACTCTTTCCTTTCCCGTGGATGTCGTAAGAGGCGACTAAAGGTGGGCGAGGGATAAGCAACAGTATCCCTCTTAAAACATCTCTAAAGCCTAATCGCGGTTGCCAATCCGCCTGCCAAGCATGGCAGCACTGGCAAAATCCCTTTCATGGTGTAGGGTTATGTTCAGCAGTGGACACTTAAAGGCTGATATAGTAATAATTACAATGCATATACATATATGTATATACAACTAGATAAAAATGTGTATAATATATAAATAAATTCAATATAAAAGATGATAACTAGCTATTTAACTATTGTATTTGTAAGATTGGACCATTTTCTATTTCTAATTATTTATTATGCGCATCCCTGGTGCGCAGAGTACGTGCCAGCGCCAACAGCATCCTGAGTATGATAGCAAGCAGGCTGCACTGTGTGTACGTTAATCGCTGCTGCGCAATTTCCAATGGAATTGTGCAGCGGTGATTATTTGGATACTATTTAATATATTTAACATATGTATATGTGTGTATATGTATATGTGTGTATATGTATTGTTACTAATAAATATTTAATGGACCAAAAAAATTACGAAATAAAAATATTAAATATTATTATTATTATATCGGATTTACTTACATTTTAAATTCGGGTATGCCCGACTAGTTTCCAATGCGATAAGAGCTCTTATTCGCGAGCGTGTTTCTATTTGTATGATTGATCAATTGTATGGCCAGTACATCAATGTTCCTATCTAGAACACAAAACTCAAGTCCATCACGGCTTGTATGGATGGTTATGAGGTGGTCTGATTAGATATTTCCAGGTATTTTTTGTTGGTACATTGGTGGCATGTCATAATGTAATGCGTGATTTAACATGCTACTAACATTATACCGTATGTTATAAAATATATCAATATTGCTGACTAATGATGACATGACGATAGTCGTTAAGTTTACAATTTTAGAGTTCCGTAAGGGACTTGACTGCTGTGTGCTCCCGGTATATCCTGTAATGGGGCACCCCTTCCTTTCCTGTGGGTGTCGTAAGAAGCGACTAAGGGAACTTAAAAGTCGAGAGAAGCAGCAGAAGAGCAGCAGTGTCTCTTTTGAAACATCACTAAAACCTAACTACGGTCGTCAAGCGTGGCTTTTCAAGGGAGACTGTGTACAAAAGTCGATTGTTTGGGTAACTCTGACCCATTTGTGTCTCTACCAGTTGTGTTTGCATGGCTGTGTTTCGGTTTGAAGGTCGGGATATGGCGTGAATTTACTGGGTACAGAGGAATAACACCTGAGTCTTCGGGAATGGCAACGCATGGGGGTATCATGGGTGAAACAGTATACTCTGTTATGTCCATGGTACTGCTCATGTCTATAGGCGACGGTTACCACTTTCCATGAGGTGCGTCGTCAGCTTGTTTGCCATTCTAAGTTGTATAAAAAAACACTTACGGACCCCCCCCCCAATAGGGGTGAGGCCCATATTCTTTTTTTTTTTGATGGGTGAAAATGGGATTAACCCGCCCGCGCTAACGGGATACGCTGGCAGAGCACCAGTGAAAACAGGCCAGTTAGCCCATCATGATGAATTCATTAGGAATTAATCATGATAGTTTCCAGGGAGAACCGCGAGGAGGACGACCTGGTTGGGTATATTGCTAGCAATAGCATTCTCAGTCTCCATTACTAACGATCCCTTTCCCCCCGAGGCCCATATTCAGCAGTGGACAGTTAACGGCTGAGATAGTATGGTAAAGGATTTGAAATCAAAACCGGACCCGTGTTAAACATACATACATATCTATCACGCCTGTCTCCCATTAGGCTAGACAGATACAGTGGAACGCCACATGCTTCAAACAAATCTAGGTCGACCTCCACGTGTTTCCCCCTGGAAACCATCGTGAACAATTCTTGTTGAATTCGTCACGGTGGGCTAACTGACCTGCTTCATTCTCACCTATCATCCCTCACTGGTGCCCCGCCGGTGTATACCGATAGCGCGGGTGGGGGTACCATTCCACTGTCACCCATAAAAAAGAAAATAAGAATAGCGCTTACATATTCCCAAATAGTACTTACGTGTGTGCATTCTACCTGATCTTGGCTGGCTTGGCATCAGTAGGTAACTTAACTCTTGAAGGTATTATTTATGTATTATTATGAAGTAAGTAAATGATTTTTCTCGTATATGTAACTTTGGTAAAAGTACGATTCCCAACTTATAAGATTTGAAACCTGAGCTTCTGGATCTTTATCATACAATGGACTACCACTTAGTTCCCGTTGGTGTCGTAAGACTCGTCTAAGGGAACTTAATGTCGTGAAATAGGCAGTAGTGTCCATCTTAAAATATTACTAAAGCCCAACTACAGTTGCCAATCCGCCCGCCAAACGTGGCAACTACTGCCAAATCCCTAAATAAGAGGAGTCAGGTTGTCATAATAAAAAAAAAAAAATAAAAAAATATCGTAGCAAATGAAGTCCCTCATGTTTTCGAAGACGAATAAAAATTTGTAATTTAAGTTATTACTATTGATAAAGACTTCAAAATGTTGAAATTACAATCTAATCTATCATGATAAATGTAGCTTAACACCGCTATGGATTAGAAGCAGTAAATGTATGTAATTTAATACGTATTTTAACTAGTATAAAAGCTGCGAACACTTTATTCGATTTATCATTGAGAGTAGTAAACTGCTGGAAGCTTGCAAAATGTTCAAATTCGTCAGCGTTTTACTCTTGATGGTCTTCTCTGAGGTCATCATCGCCGATGATGTCACCGATGGTACCGAACTCGTCTTTTCACTACTTGTAAGTATTTTCTGCTTAATTGTATGGATTTTGTAAATCTAAATTCTAAAAAGATTTCCTATTGTTTTTTGTGCAACAAATTTATTTATTTATATTTTATTGTACACAAAAATTACATTGTCATAAATTGTTGTTTAATAAAAATGTACATCAGGCGAGCTTAACTCTGTAAGAGTTCTCTTCCAGCAAACCTAGAGTAGTAAGGAGCATTCTGGTAATTACCAGAAGAAATTAAGAAATTTAGACAACTTTAGTTGTCAAACAATGTGATGGTCCATCTTCTTCTAATGGAAAAGTTATTTCTGTAGCTAGTAAATAGGATATCATAGAATATTTTGTGACCCCCTCCTCTCCCCCCATAGAATCTTTCATAGATTGACATAGAACTAAAGTGTTACATAGTATTCAGTGGGATACTGTTGGATAGTTGTAGAATGATATATCTTGTTGGGGGGAAGGGATTGTTAGTAATGCGAACTACTAGTTCCATTGCTAGCAATATGCCCCGTTACATCGACCTTCACGTAGTCCCCGCTGGAAACCATCGTGCTGAATTCCAAGTGTATTCATCACGATGGGCTAACTGACCTGCTTTATCCTCACCTATCATCCCTCACTGGTGCTCCGCCAGCGTAAACCATTACATAAAAAAATATTGTTTGACAGATTCACCGTCATGGAGACAGAACTCCCATCGAGTCTTCCTTATTCTTCAGCAACGACGCGGCCACATTAAGGGAATTGTCTGCACCTTATGGTTATGGACAGCTTACTGATGTAAGTTTGATTATATTTCTATATCTTTTTGAGTTTATAATATTATTATTTTAATTACAAGATCTTTATAAAGTATCATTACTTTTAATCGATTTAAAAAAGGTTTTAATTCGGTTGTATTCCTTTTTTTTTTGCATTTGTTACCTCATTATTCCGTTAATTCTAAACCGATTTGGAAAATTCTTATCTGAAAGGATATGCTTACATATTGGTCTCGTAGAAGTTTCATCAAAATAGGTTTAGTAGTTTAATTTTTAGACCAAAATAACTAGTTTTGCACAATTGTAGACAGTTTATTTCGTGAGAAAAAATCTTTAATTATTATAACACGTGAAAAGAGATTGTTTTTCTTTCTTTCCTTCAGTAAGAACGTCGCCTCTTATTTTTTATACTCTGTCTAATCGATATCTTGCACTTTGTATTTTTGCTAAGACATTTATTGTAGTTTTTTGGAGGGAACGTTCAAGAATATCAGTCTATACGCAGGTGATAATAAAGGTCACAGTTCATCGCATGCTTACACTATATCTGAATTTTTTAACCCAATTAAAAATGGCAAACAAGCAAACGGCTCATGTGATGAAAAGTGGTAACCTATTGATATGAACTTCACAGTGCAAAATGTGACGTGCATGATAATCCTCATGCAATTAAGAGTATGGTGTTATGTCTTCGTACCCTGAACCTCATTGCCATATCACTCCAGTAAAATTGAAACATAATTATGCAATTACAGCTGATTGACAGAAATACGGCTCGGATAGAGGTATCCAAGCAGGCACCTTTTTTAAAAGTCTCTCTTTGAATCCTTTGTGGCTTTGAGCCAGTACTTAGTAATTTTACTACCTGATTATTTAACAGGTTGGAAAAAGAAGCGCTTTTGCATTGGGAGATTACATTGGTCGTCGATACAGCGAACTCCTAGCTCCAAAATATAATCGTTCGGAGGTGTACATCCGATCCACTGACTCCACTCGCACCAAAATGACCATCCTCACAGCTCTGTCTTCTATCTATCTGCCAGCTAACGGAAGTGGATGGAGTGATGACCTCAATTGGGAACCAGTACCATATACCACCGTGCCTGCCAAATATGATTTTGTAAGTCATATTAAAATTATTGTCTCCTATAAGCTCGTAAATGGCTTTTCTTGTTTATAAAACTAGAGGAAAGTTTGTTAGAATACGCGGCTTCTGGAACTATTAGTCGGATTTTAATTTTTTTTTAATACCTCATTTCTTGAGGAAGGGTGTAAAGCTATAGGACATATTACAAAATGACCAAGAGCAAACTCGAAGCACATAGCTAGTCGTTTATAAAGTTTTCAGCACTCCAAGCTTTTGCTTGTAGTCACTTCAGATTTTTTAGTTCATCTGATATAAACTCGTTTTTAATTATTATTTAGGAAACAAACTAAATATAAAGAGAAGCAAATTCTGCATAAGCAAATGCTAATTACGTAGACCAAATACGTATAATATACTGCCAATAATCTGGGGCTTTTTCCACATGATAGAAGATAGGAACTGTTCAATATGTGTGATTAAAATTTGTTGATCTCTGTACAAATGATCATTAGAGTGCGCATTTTTTTATGCAACTTAGAATGGCAAACAAGCTGACGACCCACCTGATGGAAAGTGGTAACCGTCGCCTATAGACATGAGCAGTACCATGGACATAACAGAGTATACTGTTTAGCCCATGATACCTTCCATGTGTTGTCATTCCTAAGGACTCAGGTGTTATTCCTCTGTACCCTGTAAATTCACTGCCATATCCCAGCTTTCAAACCGAAAAAGCCATGCAAACACAACTGCTTCACGGTAGAAACACGAATAGGACAGAGGTGTCCAAGCAAACGACTTTTGTATAAACTCTCCCTCTAGTATTTAAGCTTGAATGAAGAAAACCGTATTGATTTACTCTTATTTTTATAATATTAGTAAAATATATTATTTTTTTAGAACCAAGCCAGCTTGAACTGTCCGACCTTTAAAACGGACTTGGCATTATCGATGTTGAGACCTTATCTAAAATTACAAGTACAATATGGTGAAATTCTGGATTTGTTGTCACGGAAGATTGGATTTAGTGTTAAATTTTTGCCTGCTCTCGTTTATGGTGTCTACGATGTTTATACTGCTCAAGTAAGTGTGATTTAATTTTATTTTATTCGTGATACAAGCAGTCCAATAGTGTGAGTGTTGTAAAAGGAGATCTATACCTTGATCTTTACTTAATGCTCGAGGGATGGGTAGCAGCATCCCTCTTAAAACATCACCGAAGCCTAACTGTAATTGCCAATCCACATCATCATCAACATTTTATACATTGCAATCGGGTTACTAGATTGTTAACAGTATTGGAAAATAATTTATTGAGTTGATGAAGACACGAAAAACAAATGTTTTCAGCATATGCTGTTTTCAAAAAAGGCACACTAAATTTGTTACGTGAGTTAAATGCAAGTTTAAAATTAATATTGCTTAAAAGAAAAGACGAATAAATATCATAACTAAACAGTTTAAATAAAAACACTTGATCTTTTTCTAAATGACTATAAATTAATAGGGAAATAAATTCAGTATTTTACAATTATCCTATTACGTATATATTGAGCAAGCAAAATGTTTTCTGGAAATATATATTTGCTGCAAAAATTTTTCATGATAGTAAGACTCTATAACAAAAGAATACTTGCTTGAATCAATCCTTTTCTAAATGTATGATTTCATAGAAATAGGTATAATTATAAATACTTTATATATAATTTACAGTTAAGTTTGGGACTGGCTATTGACGAAGAAATAGCAGCTGTTTTTGACGAAGTAGAAGAAGTTGCTGGAGCAGCTATAGATGTACTCTATGGGAATGATGTGAACAAGAAATATCAGGCTGGTGAGTTGTTTGATGCTATCGTAATCTGATTTAGTATTATGTAACTAGAAATTGCAGGTATTTGTTGGATGGATAAATTAAATCCTTTCCAGTGGTTCTTTATTAGAGAAAATTACATTCAGCAATAGAATACTCGAAATAATTATAATAATAATGATAATAAAAAATACCTAAGATATGATTGAAATTGGAAGTCAAAAATAAGTTCTAAAGTTTAAGATATTTCAATATTTGTCCTTAGGCGTACTTCTCAACGAGTTCTACACTTACTCGGCTAAAGCCATTGCAGGAGATGAGACACAAAGACTGAGAATATATTCTGCACATGATGTCAATGTATACGCATTCGAAGCTGTCACAGAAATTACACCTAGACAGGGTGTGCCCAAATATGCGTCAGCTTATAGTTTGGAAGTAAGAAGAGTTACAGAAACTGGCAAATTTGTGGTTTTGGTTAGTAATGGATTTTTTTTGTTTGTCATGCAAAACATGAATATTATCTTATTTATTCTAATCTTATGTTCGCTAAATTATTATGTCTATTGTATTCGAATTTGCATGTTGTTAAACATTGTTGCTTTAAAACAGAGAAGAGACAAGGTTGTAACAAGTTAACAAGTTACAATTGTCTGCTGAAGAAATTTGTAATTAATCATTTTACGTGCATTCTAGTTCCAAAAATTAACAAAGTTGAATAAAGGTTAAGTGTTATGAATCTCACTGCTAATTAATAAGTAAAAGTATTTAATAACCCTGACTGTTTAGTAGAATGTGTCGTGAAATTGTCCCGATTAAGATATATTTTGTTACAATCATGCAATTTATAACAACATTGATGATTTACAATGTTGTGATAAAACTCTAATGTCTCTTTGGTATTCAATCAACAGTTTGTAAGAAATTGTTTGAATTTCCAGCCGGTATACCAGCCTGCACCGGGTGAATCGGAAATTTACTTGCAAGTCCAAGGCTGTGATTTACTCTGTGACTACGATCAATTCGTTGAAATAACCAGCAAGAACGCTCTGGACGAAGACACTTGGAGGACTGAGTGCGGATTCACTGACGACCTTGTTATTGATGATTCATCTGTTGCTTAAAAATACTGAAACAAAGCGAGATTACCAAGTACAGTTGTTACGACTAATATTAACAATACTTAACCAATTTTTATAACATTATTAACTAGATTTAGAAATGTTTGTTGTATAATCAGATATGCATGTTAAACTTAGTCTTATAGCAGATACATAAGGCATATATTACAAAATCAGTAGATACTGATCTGCTTCAGAATCGATTTATTTTACAGTTTAATTTTCACGCAATTCCAGAACCGATTCAATCTGTAGTTTAACTTTCACAAAATAAATCTATAAAATCTCTTATTTGAGAAGAGTCGAGTTTCTTGCCTATTTCTGCTTAACTGTTTTTCAGATTGTGTGATACAGCAATATCACACTGACGGTGCATAAAATGAAGTTTAGTTAAATTATTTGATTACAGTTTATTTTGATTTCTGTTTAGAATCTTCGTTTCAAATTCAATAAGGTCCATATTGTAATACCGTTTCGCACAACTCTTGTCGCTCTCTATCAAAGACTTTCAGCTCTCTATCATTCTTAGAAATTATATTATTATATATTATCAACATATTGTTATATAATAATGAATGTTATTGTTTGTTATTAATGTTTTGTCAATAAAAAATATAGCAATTCATATTAAATTTTTATTTACCTCTATTTAAATAGTATTAAGGCTCCAAACAATGTCATAAAAACCTACCTACTTTTGTGCTGTCTTCAATCTTGCTTGTTTATAGAATACCATCTGTTTAAAGAATTCTATGCTATAGTCTTTGAGGAAAGACTTGACAGGAAGATTATTCCACAACCTGAGTGTTAATGGGAGGTAACTCCTTTGAAATCGCACTGTGCGTGATCATTCTGGTTTTAAGGTTTGAGGATGGCGAGCGGTACGATGGTGAAAGGTGGCTGTAGGCATCATATGGAAAAACTCTTTAGAACACAATCCGAATACTAGCGAATGTTTATTAAACTAGGACTGTCTGTGCAAATTATGTTTGTAGCCTTTTTTCACCAAACTGAAGAAAAGTATGTTGTACCCTTTATCTATGACCCGTTCCTAGACATTGAATTCCCTTTGTTGCTTATTACAGCACCTACGGGAAAGGTAAAAGTGGCCCATTTTATGTCCATACGGCGGCTTTTTTTTACATTTTGGCCAAGATTGCAAATAGAAACTCCGTATAAGTAAAATAATATCCATTCTTGACTTTTAAGGGGATTTTTTATTTTTTATATTAAGACACTTAGAATGGCAAACAAACGGACGGTCTTCCAGATAGAAAGTGGCTACTGTCGCCTATAGACATGAACAGCGCCATAGACAATACACAACAATTGCATAATATAATGTAATATTTAGAATTTTTTTATAGAATTTTTGTTTTATTTTTTATTTAACTTTCTTTATGTTTATGTTTCTTTTATGTTTATTTTTTTCATTAATAGTTGCAACCGAATGGCTTTGTTGCAGTCGCATTTATTATTGGATCACGCTGTGTGCACATGTTGTGGCAAGTTTACCTGATCAATACATTAATGTACTTGCATGTTATAATTTAAGTTTGTATTTGTAAACTTCTGTTATGTGCGCCTAATAAAAAATAATAAAAATAAAATAAAAATACAGAATGCATTGTGACGCCCATAGTATCTACTGCATTGCCATTCCTGAGGACATATAGTCCTCGGGTATGCGTTATACCTCCGGATCCTGTAATTTCACTGCCATATCTCACCTTTCAAACTGAAACATTGATACATGAGCAGCTGCTTAGCAGAAAAATTAGTGGGACAAAGGTATTTTCATTTTTTTTTATACAACTTAGAATGGCAAACAAGCTGACGGCCCACCTGATGGAAAGTGATAACCGTCGCCTATAGACATGAGCAGTACCATGGACATAACAGAGTATACTGTTTCACCCATGATACCCCCCATGCGTTGCCATTCCTGAGGACTTAGATGTTATTCCTCTGTAAAGGATATATCACTATAGATGATCTTTGTACAAAGTCTCCTTTTGGGTTAGAATTTCTTAAATAAATAAAAATTATAGATTACGACAGAACGTTTATTTAATAAAAAAAAATATTTACAAAACTTACGAAAACGTATTTACAATAAAAAAAATAATATTTACAATCATTTGTAATGTAGTAGCAGTAATGTAGTATTAGTATACAAATAACATAGATTTACAGTTAAAAGTTAAAATTTATAAGTTAAAAGTGGAATTGACATTAGCAGATTAATGGCTGTTAAATTTTCTGATTACAGAAGATTGGATTGGTTCGGATATCATCATCATCATCATATTAGGCTTTAACTGTCCATTGCTGAACATAAGCCTCCCCCTTGGGAGATTTTGCCAGTATTTGCCATGCTTGGCAACCGTACTAGAAATCGCAGTTCGGCTTTGAAGATGTTTTAAGAGAGATGCTGCTGCCCATCCTTCGCTCTCCCTTAGTCGGTTCGGATATACGTCTCATTAAAGTCGTCTACATGGGTACTTATGTCCCATTTATGTTCTATACTTTCTCTGTTAATATTTATAGGTGACGGTTATCTTATTCTACCTGGCGGGCCGTAAACTTATTTGTTGTTCCACGTTGATAACAAAAGACGTCTCAATGCGTTTATTCATCATGGTTGTATCCACTGAGATATTATTTTGTACTATATATACTATTTATTTGTTTAATCAGTGTTACAAAGTATATAAATAGTACAAATATACGAGTAAACCAAGTCATCATACTTGTGACCTTTCTCACGCTGCGGAGGTTAAACATATGGCGATATGTCAATAATTATTTTACAACTGAAGTCAACTGTGTTTTTAATAAAACTAAGTTTTAATTAATTCATATTGTTCCCCCGAGTAAACACTAATTTTACACATGGAGAGGAAAGTGGGGGAAATACGAACAGTGGGTAATCTCGAAACTGAATAAATTAATGAGTGATAAATTTACCAAAAAATATCGACACATATAGACGGTATTATCAAATAGGCGTCATATAATTTGATAGTATAGATATAAAAATAGTAATCAATGTACATCACAGCGGTGACAAAAAAGGTTAGTCAGCATTACGCTGCATTACAACTATGTATGCTGCAGCAGTGATTGTCAATGGAACCTTGAACCAATGGACGCGTGCTTCTCACATTGGCATTAATATAAATAAACAATATTCATTTGTAGTCTATGATAAATAACAAGTTAGTACGAAAAGAAATAAATGTGACATGCAGTCACCGCCATTTTAAAACTCTTGCCACAACCAAAGCTAAATGGCAAGTCGAAAAAGATACACACAAAAGTCAAGTTATGAATACTTAAATATTTTTCTTTGTGTTTTTAATATAACTTATTGATAAAGGACTATAGATGTCTCATAGTGATTATAATATTTATATTGAGTTTTATTTTTCCTTTAAAAACTTCCTTTAGTGTAACGGTTACGTGGTAAAGAATGCCATTAGGCATTAAGTCCGCCCTGTAGACATATTTTGGATGCGTGTAAAAGTCTAAATAAATAGATAAATATTATTTAAAAAAAATATAAAATTTGATTAGTTAAGTAGTTATTTGAACAGTTATACTGTCTTATGAGACAATAAAAGAAATGTATATAATATTTCCTGAGTTTTTAAAGATAAAGATAAATTTATTTGCATAAACATGTGTGTGCAGTGGTTACATGCACCACACACACATGTCGCCATGTACATGTACATGTCGACGTGTACTGAGTATTTTAATTATGTTATAATTACAATTAAAATTTTAAATTTTTTCCTGAGTGTTCGTATTTGCCCCATTTCCTCCATTCCTTTTATTAAGTATCATGCCCAAAAGGTAAACATTATCGGTACATATATTTTCAAATTTAATTAAAAAATCACAGTATTTTTTCCAACTTATCAATAAATTGTAATTTAGTCCTTGTTCTTAACTTGTAAATTATGTGGATTTATCCAAAAGGTGAACGAAGTCTATGTTACCTGTTAAAATAAAAACATTAGTTATAAGCAGTTAGCACTGTGTTATTGTAATAATTATTAAAATAATTAAAATTATCAGCCTTTAACTGTCCATTGCTGAACATAAGCCTCCCCTTGGGTGGTTTAAGAGAGACGCTGCTGCCCATCCCTCGCCCTTCCTTAATCGTCTCTTACGACACCCACGGAAAAGGAAGGGGTGGTCTATTCTATGCCGGGACTACTGCTGAACTGTCCACTGCTGAACATAGGCCTTCTCCATAAGAGAAGTTTTGCAGTAGTTGTCACGCTTGGCAGGCGAGTTGGCAACCAATGTTAGATTTTTAGTGATGTTTTAAGAGGGACGCTGCTGCCTATTCCTCGGCCATTAAGTTCCCTTAGTCGCCTCTTTCGACACCCACGGATAAGGAAGGGGTGGCCCATTCTATGCCGGAACCATACGACAACTTGTTTATTTATTAGACAATAAAAATTGAATAACAATTTCAAATAAGAACATTTTCTTGTTTCATACTTTCTAGGGTGTGATTTTACAGTAATCAAGTTTTATTTAGTTTTTTTTAAGCAACTTAGAATGGCAAACAAGCTGACGGCCCACCTGATGGAAAGTGGTAACCGTCGCCTATAGACATGAGCAGTACCATAGACATAACAGAGTATACTGTTTCGCGCATGATATCGCCCATACGTTGCTATTCCTGAGGACTCAGGTGTTATTCCTCTGTATCCTGTAAATTCACTGCCATATCCCACCCTTTAAACTGAAACACAGCCATGCAAACACAACTGCTTCACGGTAGAAACACGACAGAGGTACCAAGGCAAACGACTTTTGTACAAAGTCTCTCTCTGGTAAGTCCCTCCCTTTGTTTTTGACCTTAGGCACTTTTGTCCTGATTCTTTGAAAATGTAAAGTTCACCATATGTTTAAGTATTGTCATTTACCGTTTTACCCATAATACTGGGGTCCATGGTAGTATTGGTCCGCTCTCCTATCGATTATTACCAGGTTGGCGTTCTTGGCCGGATAACCGTGGTGGTACACCCATTTCTTGCCGGTGTTCTTACCGCCTTTTTCGAATTGGGCGTTACCGTGTTTCCCATGACTGTCGTGGCCTTGCGCTGCTTTGTGACCCTGGAAAAAGTGCTTATTTTTAGCCTTATTTCAGTATAATATAAATGAAAATTATAAATTCAGAAATTATAAAATGAAATGTTTTATGTAAATAATTATTTATATACCAAAATGATGGTGAAACATAGTGCACTACATTAATATAACATTAGGGGGGAAAGGGATTGTTAGTAATGGAGACTGAGAATCCCATTACCAGCAATATACCCAACCAGGTCGACCTCCATGCGGTTCCCCCTGGAAACTATCATGGTTAATTCCTAAGGAATTCATCATGATGGGCTAACTGGCCTGTTTTCATTTTCATCTATGACCCTTCACTGGTGCTTCGCCAGCGTATCCCGTTAGCGCAGGCGGGGTTACCATACCATTTTCACCCATCAAAAAAAAAAACATTAAAGTTATTTACTATACCTATGTTTATGCAAATAAATGATTGATTGAAAACATTTATTTACGTTGTTGTAATGGTTGGCTGTAAGAGATTGCTCTAACGATAAGACCGCCCTTTGTACCTTTATGTATACATTTTAATCTGTACTTTATGCCACTGTATTTCACTTGAACACTCTAATTTTGTATAATTTTGTAAATTGTATATTTTTATGTTTTAAGTGCAATAGAGAGTTAATAATAAATAAATAAATGTTTAATTGCTCTGATCATATCTGCTGATGTCTATACCAGACCAGTAGAGGTCAGCACTATACTGTTTACAAATCTTGTCTGTCTGTCAGATTGTATTTTTGTTCATTTAATATATTATATGTGTGTGTATGTGTATGTGTGTGTATTGTGTATGTAAATTTACTAACATTAGTTTTAAGAATATTGTTACTAATAAATATTTAATGGACCAAAAAGGTCCGAAATAAAAATTATTATTATTATTATTTATATTTTAATTTTGTTTTTCTGTCTCTTCTTCACATGGACGAAGGTTTACTCACTGACACGGGCCTTAACCAAGTGTAGGAGAGGTTTCAGAATAGGAAGATGTAATAGTAGACGAGGTGAGGAATTTTCTGGTAATATGGCAGGTATTTAAGATAGTGGCCTTTTGTAGTAGGTATGTTTGATTAGTGTGGATATTTAGTGTTTGTAGGCTATTACATAGAGTCTTTGCGATAATGCCAGTGGAAGATAGAACGATGGCTATAATATGTACTGTATGGGCTTGCCATTGTGTTTTCACTGCTATTGCAAGATCCTGGTACTTCGCAAGTTTATCTGAGATGGTAGTTTGGAGATTATGTGTGTTAGGAATAGCGATAGACATATGAGGTATATTGTGTTACAGTTTTTGTCATGAAGTGTGATATCCGGTCTATTGTAGTGTACCGTTTTGTCTGTAAGTATAGTCCTATCCCAATAAAGCTTACACTTTTGATTGTTTAGAACAGTTTCAGGCTTGTATTTATAGTAAGGCTGTTATTTCTCTTTTTACTTGGTGCAATAAAGTGTAAATAAATAAATAAATAAGGCTGTTTTTTTCTTATAAAATCATATTTGTAAGCGAGTTGTTGGTGAATTATTGAAGCTACATGATCATGTCTATGTTTGTAGTTATTATTATGCGGTATTAAACTTACTTTTTCCTTGTGTCCATGGCCGCCCTTGTGGAAGTGTCCGGTATCGCCTTTAGAGTGCTCGTGGTGGCCCGCTTTGAGATTGCCGTGTTTGAAGTGGCCGCCCTGAAAAAAAAAGATTTCATAAGCATTAGTGTCGATTTGTAACTCCATACAAACAAACGTGGTGTAGAACGATTGATTGATAGATAGAGTGATTACTTCAAATACATTGCAAGGATTCACTGAATGCAGGCGGCTCAGGACTGCTCTTTAAGGCAGTCTATGAGGGAGGCCTATGTTCACCAGTGGACAATTATGACGATGATGAATGAGAGCATTTGTTTTCACTGTTAATGTAATATGTACATTTTCTGTTATTTTATTTTAGTAATATATTATAATAAAATTGTAACTGTACGATGTCTGTACATGGGAGATATTTAGGAAAACTAGAAAAAATAATTTTTAGAATTTTTTTCTATCTGTTTGTATGTTTGTCCCGGCATTACTCAAAAACTACCGCACGAAATTGAATGCGATTTATACAGCAATATTTTTGAAGGTGTAATTTGTAAATTGTTGTAAGTTTTATTTTGATACGTCATCTAGAAGTAATAGGTATATGTCATGGATTTACCTGCTTCTGAAATCCATGCGTACGAAGTAACGGGCCAAAAGCTAGTCTTAAATTAATAAAAAAATCAGGTCAAGTGCGAGTCGGACTCGCGTAACGAGGGTTCCGTACAAAATCATGAAGTTTTTTTGTGAAATAACTACAAGTTTACAGTTTTCAGATTTTTCCTTTACTTGTGCTACATGACATTGCTTCTTGCCAAATTTCATGTTTCTAGGTCAACGGAAAGTACTCTATAGGTTTTCCTATTACGAAAGTCAAAATATGCGATTTAAATGGAACATGAACGGCCGTTTCTTTTGATTGCGCTGATTTAAAAGCTTGCTTTTTTCGCTTCCTTAAAAGATTGGAGACCTGAGTATATGATATTAATTTCAACCTGATACCTCCACGCGTTCTTAAGAAAAGGGACCCTGACAGATGGACGGACGGGCGGACAACGAAGTGATCCTATAAGGGTTCCATTTTACTTTTGGAGGTACGGAACCCTAAAAATGATATCATTAAGATATCAGGCATATAATTCCGTGTAATATATAAAATAAAACTGTTACTAATGACAATTATATTGAGCTATTCAACTTATCTAACACGAGACACGCGTGGTAACGCCCCCATCACAGGTAAGTGATGGAGGCGTGTTCCCAAATTCATAGATAATGAGTAAAACCATTTGCTTTCTAATAAAACTAATCCACAGATTAACCTTTAAACTGTTGATTAAATGTTGAATCACGCCATCTATCTATTGAATGAGTAAGCTAAATAAATGAAATTATAAATAGAATCATAAATTCTCACACGCTTGAACCTAAATGGTCACGTACACTGCGGTTTTATAGGAATTTTCACCCGCGAACGCTCAGGCTGTGAAATGCGCTCCCTGTCGAGGTTTTCCCAAGAGACTACTGTATGGGGTTTTTCAAAAAGTGTATATTAAGGTTTCTTCCGGGTCGGCAACGTGCGCGTGACAATCCTAGTATCGAAGGTGTTCATAGGCTACAGTGACCGTTTCCCAACAGAATGGTTGCACACTTTGTTTAAAACTACTAAAAGGATTTGAATAAAATTTGGTACACAGATAGATTATATCTTAACTTAGCACATAGGACACTTTATGTATTGCTTTACGCGGGCGAAGCCGCAAGATACAGCTAGTAAATAAATAAATCAATGCACTTTTTAAAGTCGGTTATAAATAGCAAAATTGCAACTTGAATACAATAAAACTTTGTTCATTAAAGTAATTCCGTTTAACATTTTTAACGAACGTTTTTAATATAAAACCGTAGTTTAACCACGATAAGCTCACTGCAGTTTGAACTTATGAGATACAGAGATTACGAAGGAAGCAGCAGGGAAAGACGTCGCTAAAGGAACGTCCCTATAGAACAGTGATTCTCAAACTTTTTTTTGTTGCGGCACATATTTAACGATTTAAAAATTTGGCGGCACACAAAGAAAAAGATAAAAATTATTCACTTACTACAACACACTGCATAAATAGTTTATGACAAAAATTTTAAATATTTGCAAAATTTGGCGGCACACTTTTAAAATTTGGCGGCACACAAAAGTACCGCGGCACAGTGGTTGAGAATCACTGCTATAGAATATTTTTTTTAGTAGTTTTTTATCATCGAAATAAATTACTTCATTATAAGTAAATACATATATTTATTTTATTTATTTATATGCTTTTATTCATTCACTTATAGTATCGATATTAGGTTATATCAAAATGTAGAGAGGCGGACTTACCCCTTAAAGGAATTTCTTCCAGTCAACCTTGAGAACTTGAAAGGTGAAAGTGTCTATAGGGGTGACCGACTCGACTAGACCCAAGATTTACTGACCAAACCCTGTGCGATCTACCAATTACATGCTTCTTGAAATCACAAATGAAACATATGTTGTTTCTGTACACAATTATGTAGTAGTGTAGTATTTTTTTTTTATTTTATTAATAATTAAACTAATAGTTTATCTACTTTTAAACTGTAATGTTATAATATATTTAAAGGAAATATTTATAATATAAGCCTTTATTCAGACAACATTTTTTTTTATAACAACCTATTTATTTAATTGCTGTTATTTGTTTGCTTATTAGCAAAGGCCTCCTCCAACTGCCTCCAATGGTCTCTATTGCTAGCAATTCTTGTCCAAATTCTACCTGCTTCAGCCCTAATGTCATCTACCCATCTTCTATGTGGTCTTCCTCTTCGCCTTCTTTTTTGTCTTTTAAGGAAATATTTGGTTGATTTTTATTTTCACACTCATTGACTTTATAGTTATTATTATAATTCAATTTATTATGTCTTTGTGTATAATTGAAATTAAGTGCGTCACAAATCTAATTTAACGTTGTGATACAACACTAAATGAAAAGAAAAAAAAAACTGTTTCGAATGTCATTGACCTGCATCTTCACTATTGCAAACGTAAACTGGTAACAGAAATTTGTAAAAAATGGATATCTGTTTATTACGACATCCACAATAGATATCAGATAATAAAAGAAATTAGGCCAGACTATATAAAAAAGGAATTAATTTGTAACGCTTAAGTTTGTTGCAATATAAATTAGGAGAGGAGAATAATGTCGAGGGAACGTGTTTCGTTCCCGCCTTTTTTAAGTCTTTTTTTTTTTAATAATGAACGACTAAGAACTTTTAAGACAAAGAACAAAAATACTGGCACAGATGAAAAATCGTACGTCAAAGTAGAATTATACGTTTTTGTAATTATTTTACAACTCGGCAAGGAGAATGCATGGAAAATGAAAGCGAACCGAGTCGAAATGAGAGAGTTTTGACAGCTTGAAGCGCCATTGTTATGCCTCATATTTGCGGCTACAGGATATCATTAAATTGAATGAATGAGAACAGAGTACATGTAGATGTGTGATGATTCATGAAAATGGAGGAAGCCAAAGTTTAATAAAATAAAGTTAACTTTTATCATTCACGTAACGGAACAATTTGAATGATATATTAAAAGAATTTTGATAAGTATTTATGTTCCTTGGAAACAAGTTTTTTTTTTTTAGTAAGACCAACACTGTATTATTTAAAATCTGGCATCCTTCAATGGTTGTTTATGTGTGAAATCGATTTAAATTTTATCATCGGAAGCTTTCTCAACAGTTGCGAACGTTTTTTAAAGACGATTTGTAATCGATATCTGGACAATGATGAATCGATTTCTCACGATAACGATTTAGAGGTGAAGGACGATTATTTGTGACTCTTTCACTAGTACCTACTTTTATTTAAAGAGTCTTCCAAAATAAGGAGGTGTAAATTTTTTTCTAGTCGAATTTATTTATTTTTGTAAATAAATAAAATATATAGCTTAAACTTAAAATTAGTGAATTAATTCTGATTTGATTTTGATAAATATTTGTTAATCGATGACGTTAACAGCTACGTATATATTTTGCTTATATTTTATTTTCCATAGATTATATAATGTAAGGGTGGAAAATAATGGAGCAACTATGTAGATGGTCTCTGATGGTCTTCGATTCGAAGGTCATCGAGTATCAAAAACAAGTCAACATTAAGTAAGCCAACACTAATGACTATCTTTTTTATACAGTATTCTATACAAGTTCTATATAAAGAATTATTCACATATTCAGTGTTGCAATTATTCGTAAAAATATCCTCACAATGAAATCGAAATTTCCCAAATGAGTTAAATGCTTTTTTTTTTACTATGTTTTTTTTTATAAAACTTAGAATGGCAAACAAGTTGACGGTCCACCAGATGGAAAGTGATAACCGTCGCCTATAGACATGAGCAGTACCATGGACATAACAGAGTATACTGTTTTGCCCATGATACCCCCATGCGTTACCATTCCTGAGGACTCAGGTGTTATTCCTCTGTACCCTGTGAATTCGCTGCCATATCTCACCTTTCAACTCGAAACATAGCCATGCAAATATAACTATTTCACGGTAGAAACACTAATAGGACCAATTTTGTTCTTTATATAAAAATAAAACTTTAAAAGAAACTTACCGATGAATGTTCCTTCTCTTTAGCGTAGCCGCCGTGTTTCTCTTCTTCCGCGGAATCGCCTTCTTCTTCAAAGAACTCCACTTTCTTTTCGTATTCTTCTTTTTTGTGGATATCGTGGCTGCCTTTTGTGCTGTGCCCTTTCGAATGTTTGCCTGACTCCTCATACTAAAGAGTAGAGTCATTAAAATGTTGAAGAATAAATAAATTTGGTCTATGGATTAAGTCCAAGTGATTATCAAAGTAATTTATTTTTTTTTATACAAGAAAGATAACAGACACTTGGTAGTTATTAAGTGGTTATCACTGTCTATGGTAGAGTAATAATGCAGTGAAATTAATAGGCATACTATGTTTAAAATTTATTATTATTAAAAAAAATCTTTATGATATCACGACAACAGAGATCCACGACGCTCAATTAGGCCTATAATATCTGATATTGCAAGCGTTTATGAGTTACGGCGGGTCATTTAGTCAAACAGTATCTATTTACTACATTCATTGTATAAAAAAATAAACTCGGTGTTAAACTTTGTTTCCACAAGTTTACAATATTATTTGCGATGTAAATAAAAAAAAATAATTAAATACAAGTGAAGCCCGCCAAATAAAATTTAAAAAAAAGAACATTGTTCAAATATTAAACAGCCAGTATTGTAAAAGTTTTTCTTCTATTTCACAATAGTACCTACACGTGCTATTGGATTACGAAATAATTATGAAACCTTGTTATAACCATTTTAATTTTTATACCATAATAGTGGCATCCTAGCCAAAAAACGCCTGCAATACCAGGGTGTCTTTCACGTTACCACCATTTAACAAAGCTTGTGAAAGGAACTAACACTAAAACCATATTATGTGAAGAAGGGATGGAGGGGATGGTTATAAATGGGGACCAGCGGCCCCATTGCTAATGACATACCCTGTCACATTAATTTACATACATAGTCCCTTGGAAACCAACTCGGTCAATTGATGAATTCATCACTACGGGCCTGACTTAAATTCATCATCACCTATCATCCCACTGGTACTCCACCAGCATGAATATCGTAGGCTGGATTACAGTGTAATCAACAATAACAACAATATACCTTGGCGTGTTTCTTCCCATGTTCCTCATGGTGGTGCGAACCATAATGGCCGTCCTCGTCGTGATGATGCTTGTCGATGCCTCCGTGGTCGTTGTATTTGCCTAGGTGGTCTTCTGTGTCATGGTGGCCCTTAGCTGACTTCGTGTCCTTGTGGATGCCCTGCATTTGATTAAAAACAAGTTTAATAAGAGTGTCACTTACTAAGTCATCACTGGTCCTGTCGAGAGTACTCCAATTCGCATTTATACAGTGGTAAGTAGGGTATTCCCTCTTTCTTTTCCATGGGTGTCGTAACAGCAGCAGCAGCGCCCCTCTCAAAAAACCACCAAAGTCTAACTACGGTTGCCGGAGGGGAAAGGGATTGTTAGTAATAGAGACTGAGAATTCCATTGCTAGTAATATACCCAACCAGGTCGACCTCCTCGCGGTTATCCCTGGAAATTATCATGGTTAATTCCTGATGAATTCATCATGATGGGCTAACTGGCCTGTTTTCATTCTCATCTATCACCTTTCACTGGTGCTCCGCCGGCGTATCCCGTTAGCGCGGGCGGGGTTACCATGCCATTTTCACCCATCAAAAAAAAAAATACGCCATCTGGAAGTAGTCTGTTTCATTGTTTTTTTTTTTATAGTACCATAGTGGCAAACAAGTTTCCTAATTCTGAAATCCACCTGTACGAAGTAGCGATCAGAATACTGGTACAATAAAGGCTTGATAAGAAGATTTTTAGGTATAAATAATTATTACTTACACTACTGAAAATTAAATCAAGACTTATAAAATTTAATATTAACACCTGGCTAATTCAATGATCGTTTGAATTAACATCGGAATCTCTAATTTCTCTAATTGTTTGACTAAAATTGACTCGTGAAACTTCTGCAAATGTACCTCTTGGTTCTCGAATATTCTCGGTTGACGATAAATCATCTATCGAGTTTTGTTTTATAGTTTTTAGTCAACTTTAAAAAAAAGGTGCTTGGTTTATGTTCCATTGTATATTTCTTTTGTATGTCAACTGATTTCTTTAACAATTGTGAACTGGTTTTAAAAATTCTATTATTTTATTCGAAGAGAAAAATAAAAGAATTTTTCCTGAAATGATCTCAGTGTCATCAAGTCAGAATTCAATGATAGAATCTCAGGGAAATTGAAGGCAACTTTCAAATTTTATAGGCACGTATAATGTGTTATGTATGTATGTATGTATGTATGTATGTATGTATATATATATATATATATATATATATATATATATATATACATATATACATACATACATAACTATTCATATATACATACACATATATATATATATATACATACATATATATATATATATATATATACATATATATAAATATGCATTTTTCCTTGTAGTAATTTGACGTACTATCTTTACCAATTTTGAATAGATTTTAATAGTTGACTTTTGTAATCAATACTCAATAATAGAACTACTCTACATTTACATTTTTTACACTACGCTACGTTACATTTTTAAATTACTTTATAGTTTAGCTTACCAAAGTATATCAATGTACAATACAGAAGTCACGCTAATATCATATGAGTAAAAGAAATTTAATTAGATCGTCTTTTATTTCTTCGATAATTTGTTTTTAAATACTTTTTCTAAACAATGTATACCGTAATATATCAAACTTTAATTTTAGACAGTTTTTTTTGCTATCCTGTAAAGTGTACTTTTTCGACTTACGTACTGTTAGAACTTCATGATATAATGGAAATAATATATAATAATTTAAGGAAAACAATAGTAGAAGTTGCAACAAGTCGACATCAACTTCAGAATATAATTTATTCAAATTGAATCCAGTTACAATTGATATTAAAAAGCGGAATTCTTAATTGATCTTGTTTTTTATTAAGATTGTGAACTACAGGACGTCATTTGCGATGTCCTCTCTGAAACGTAACCTTCAAATGTGATTTGAAAATATTTTTAAAGTATCTTCTCAATGCTTTAGAGTGGATTCAATTTGATAAATTATGTCTGATTTCGATATTTAAATATTTAATACCAATAATTGTCTATTCTAATTAGGAAATTTTTAATTAAGACATCCCGGGACTCGGAATCCCGAGATCCCGGATGTATTTCGATCCCGAAAATTTCGGAATTAAATTTAACATATACCGTTATTTTCAAGATTAACAAAAAAAATCGCATGAAACGAAACGCACTTATTTTTTTTTATATATAGGGAAGGCAAAAGGACTAAGCCTATACAGCCTTTATCTTCAGTTTATATCTGCAAATTTCGTTTTCATTTTTAATTCCGTTTAGATATTTCAAAGTTCTTGAAATGTTGAGATAACGTATTCATATATGGAATTATAGTTTTTTTTATTTTTTAATAAAAAAGCACTCATATAGCTTGACAGTTTAGCCATGTTCCGAGCGCGCTTTTTCAGGATCTGCAACCATGTGTAAAAAATTGAGAAGTAGGCTTGGAGATAAAACATTGGATGTATTATTATTAGATTAGAGAAATAATATTTTCGAAATGCAAATAAGACATAAAGTGTCTAGCTTATATAATAATAATATTTGTTTAATATAATAATATTTGTATTTTAATTATATTTAATATAATATATTTATTTATTATATATATTTATTTTCTATAATTATATTTGTTTTTTTTTTCTGATAATCTTTACGGAATAATGCTTTTATTACGGAAATATAAGTCTGTTAGTAATTTTAATTGGAAATTTAACATATTAATGTGAAGTATTATTGAAAAAAGTAAGTGATTAAATAATTTAAGATAATAGATAAGTTTGTGTTAAAATTTTGTTTATTATTATCCCTATAATCATCTCAGCCATTATCCGTCCAACATAGGCGTCCTCCATAAACTGCAATAAAGAACGGTACTGCGTTACCTGCATCCATTGACTCTCTGCAATGTAGTCATCAATCCATTTAATAGGGAAGGGGTCGTCCTATACCGCGTTTGCCCATACGAGGTCGTAAAATTTTGTCATGGTTTAGGTGGATAGTGGGTGGTTTATTTTCCTGACAAAACTTAAAATGTAACCATATCTGGCCATTATAATTGAGTAATTAATATTGATCTCCTAAAAGAATATAATTTTATTTAATTTAAGTTGATTTTTGTTTTTTAATTATAAAGACAGATTTTTGGTTGTTTATTTTAAGAGAAAATTTAAGTGAATTTTGTTGAACTGTAAATTATAATTTTACTTTCTAAATGATTATTTAATGAAAATTTAATTGTCCTGTTATTGAAAATATATGTAAATAAAAAGTTAATTTTTACTCCATTATGATTACTTTTCATAACCTATCGATAATCCCGGCATTATCCCGGGATTGTTTGTAGACAATCCCGTAATCCCGAGATTACAATGAAGGCCCAAAAAATCCCTAATTTCAATCCATCGTCATAAAAAAATAAATAAAAAAATAAAAATATATAACATGGTCCGTTATTTGTGAAACTAGATTAACTATTACACCATAGAGTAAGTAACTATTACGATATTTAAAAGACTACGTTATCCTTATATTAACTTTAATAAAAATTAAAGAAATAAAATTAAATTGAAAACTGGACTCTCGGACTGAGAAAAATTTTACACTATGATTGTTATAACAATGTCGAAGTTTAGATAAGCAACACATAGAATTAGAACAATAGCCTTTCATAACAACATAACAATCATTGTATTTAATAACAATAAAGATTGTTTTCATTTAAAACATTGTCAATGGGCATTAATAATAAAAAGTCTAAGATGCATAATCGAAGACTAAAAAAGGTGCTGATAATAAAAGTGCATTCACCTAAATATTATGTTTTTTTTTTAGTTAATGGATGATAATGGAATGGTAATCCCGTATACACTGGCGGGGCACCAGTGAGGGATGATAGGTGAGAATGAAAAGGCAGATCAGTTAGCCATCGTGCGGAATATTTATTTATTTACACTTTATTGCACCATTTAAAAAATAGTAAATACATTTAACTGTAACGAGGAATGATACAAAAAGCGGCCTTATCGCTGAGCAATCTCTTCCAGACAACCTTTGGGTAGAGGACATTGGGAAAATAAAGAAAAACAAAGGGTAGGTGGCGCACTATTATGTATAAACAAATATATACAAAGATATATACACATAAACAAATACATACATAAACATACACAAACTTAAAAGCACACATATAACAGGAGAGAGTGACACTGGAAGATAAAGATAGAAGACGGGAAAATAGTACTTAAAGGGATAGATAATGGGATTTAATAGAGGTTTTGAAGCTAGCGAGAAATTGAGCGCACCGTATAGAGGTAGGTAGTGAGAATAGAATAGTAGTAGGAATATCAGAGGGAGACTTTGTACAAAAGTCGATTGCTTGGGTACCTCTGCCCCATTCGTGTTTCTACCGTGAAGCAGTTGTGTTTGCATGGCTGTGTTTCGGTTTGAAGGGTGGGATATGGCGTGAATTTACTGGGTACAGAGGAATAACACCTGAGTCCTCAGGAATGGCAACGCATGGGGGGTGTCATGGGCGAAACAGTATACTCTGTAATGTCCATGGTACTGCTCATGTCTATAGGCGACGGTTACCATTTTCCATCAGGAGGGCCGTCAGCTTGTTTGCCATTCTAAGTTGTATAAAAAAAAATTCAACACGATGGTTTCCAGGGGGGACCACGAGGAGGATCTGACAGGGTATATTGCTAGCAATATGACTGGTAGTCCGCATTGTTAACAAATATCCCTTAATGTTACTCAATTTTTCACTACGTCGACTTCCATTTTAACTTTATTTTTATATTTTGATATAAATATTTATATCCACATTCACATTTCAAAATAGGTAACGTTTCCCATTAGAAATTGCTCAGCAAACATTTTCATGAAATAAAATTCTTTTAAACTTTCCAATAACAAGTTTGGACAAGTTTTAAAAAGTCTGTCACGCGCAGATTTTGTCGTGATAGGTCCAGTTTTGTGTATTACAACTTATTTATTTTCAATTGGCTTCGAAAACAAGAGAATTATCATTTCGTCTGTATTTTTTTATTACATCATCACTGTGTCGTCTTAAACGGCACTTCAATCGATCGATTATTCGATTCTTAATCGAATGTCCACACACCTCGCGGATATGAATCGATTACATTATTATTAAGTTGGAGGGCAGTTAGTGAACTCGTCCTTGCACTCGGCTTGAGATCACGTACCGTCGCGAATCAAGAGCATAACCGAACAGTGAACTAGGAGATCATCATATTAAAGATAATATATTGTATATTTAAAGATATTTTGTGTAGGCCTACCAATCAAGAATTTATAACAGTATCCAGTCAAAGGTGGAAAGCAGTGCGGCGCATGAGATTCCTTCAAGTGCACGTACCTTCTTAAATATTGTAATTGCTTCATCCTCATTATCAGAAGTAAGGACAAACGTATTTCCACCGCTTAACGGTGTCCCTACAATCACCATATTAGCTATTAACTGTCCACTGCTGAACATAGGTCTACATCTATTGAGGAGTATCGCCAGTAGTTACCACGCTTGGCAGGCGGGTTAGCAATCACAGTTTTGTTTTTTATGAGTGAAAATGGTATGGTAACCCCGCCTGCGCTAACGGGATACGCTGGCGGAGCACCAGTGAAGGGTGATAGATGAGAATGAAAACAGGCCAGTTAGCCCATCATGATGAATTCATCAGGAATTAACCATGATAGTTTCCAGGGGGAATCACGAGGAGGTCGACCTGGTTGGGTATATTACTAGCAATGGGATTCTCAATTTCAATTTCTAATAATCCCTTTCCCCCCTAGCAATATCAGTTAGGTTTGATGATGTTTTAAGAAGGACGCTACTGCCAATCCCTTGACCATTAAGCTCGTTTAGTCGCTTTTACGACACCTACGGGAAAGAAAGGAGTGATCCATTCTATGTTGGAATCACATGACGATGTGGTGTAAAATTATGTGTTTATATGCTTTAAAATTATTTTTAACAACAGCAACAGGGTTTATTCCCGTGGAAGTGGTCCCTTTCTATTAATTAAAAATTAAATAATTTTAGACATTAAACTATGTAAAGACGAATGTTTATTATTCTTTCACGCAATAACTACTGAACAGATTTAAATGATATTCGGTACTCGGATAGGTTATATACTATCTTAACATATATAGTACGCGGGCGAAGCCACGAAATAAAACTAGTTAAAAATAAACAATTAGCGTGCTGCTACGAAAACATTAGTGTCTCATTACTCTTTAAATTCCTTAATTACTTTTTTCACTTATCCTAATAGCATTAATAGTATATTCGACTGAAAACCTGATATTACTAGATCTCTCTGTATTAAAACAAACATTAATGAAAATTACGTTATTTGGTACTAAAAAGTACATTGCTTCAGTCGTCTGAGTTGCTTACAGATGGCTTTAGTCAGTGTTATAAATAAAAATTAACAAACACATTTTCTCTGCAAAAAAACAGACTAGTCCCTAAAAGAAGCATTCGTTCACGAGTATGACGAATGAGACAGTCATGGGAAATTATAAAAATATCGCTTTCTTGAACATCTTTAATATTTTCTTTTTAATTTTATATTATTAGTTAAATCACGACCTTGATAAATGGCACATAATTATAAACTACTACCTATTTGCCTCGGCTTCACACGAATGTATCGAGGAAGAAAATGACCAAATCTTCCCATTACAGTATGACAAAGTGTGTAAATTCTATTATTATTCCCATGAACTTAAAATTTCCTATGCCACTGTGTTGGGTTGACTGGAAGAGATTTGTTTTAGAGATTTCACTTAGGATCCATATAGGATGCTTTTTCAGTTGTTGTCATGTTTAGCAGTCGGATTGGCAACTGCAGTTAGACTTTGGTGATGGTTTAAGATGCGCCCTGCTGCTTATCTCTCGACCATAAAGTTTCATTAGTCACCTCAAACGAATAATCGAGCTGGCCATAAGACAGAGGTTCACAGTGGAAACCGCGAGGAGATCGACTTAATATTTTCAGTTTACCATCACCTTCTATAGGAGTACTTCGTTGCTAATTATATTCATTAATAACAATTATGTTACGCGTTGAAAATGTAATGTTACATGTGTGACAAAATTTTACAATCGGTTGAATAGTTTTCTTCTTTTTTTTTTTATACAACTTAGAATGGCAAACAAGCTGACGGCCCACCTGATGGAAAGTGGTAACCGTCGCCTATAGACATGAGCAGTACCATGGTCATAGCAGAGTATACTGTTTCGTCCATGATAACCCCATATGCGTTGGCATTCCTGAGGACTCAGTTGTTATTCTTCTGTACCACCCTTCAAACTGAAACACAGCCATGCAAACACAACTGCTTCACGGTAGAAACACGAATGGGACAGGGGTACTCAAGCAATCGACTTTTGTACAAAGTCTCCCTCTGGTCTTCTGTTTATCCTTTACAAACAAATAATCAAATTTTTTCTCTTTGTAATAGTAATATAGACTAGTTTTCCCATGTAACTTTGTTTGCTTTTTATAAGCATCTATCTAATCACTCTGGATATCAATATAAAGCACAATAGTTTTTAACCACCCAAGAACTTTAGGGATTGTGCCAATTGTTTTTTCACTGTGATCATTTCTTGTGATTGTTTGTATCTATAATAAATTTACTCTTATAATCTTTTAGAGCAAGGTTGGCCAACTAGTCGATCACGTTCAATCGGACAATCACGACTATTAGTCAAGGCGATCGTGGCAAAACAAAAATACAATATTCTGCTAAATCAGCAGAAGATGTTCGGACGCAATACTCACACTTATAATTGATAATTCTTTATTTAATAACAATTCACACCTAGTTACATCTACTAGCCACCGAACTAGGCTGAGCCTGTATCTCAGTGGTTAGTTAAAAACTTCCTTTGACTTATAAGACGGAACAATCTAAAACAACACTCATTTGCAATGTTCAATTTACTTCTGGTGCAACATTGTTAAATGTGGATATCATCATATTATTTAGTTACAATTACGATTAACAGTTTACCCACCTAATGTGAAATATTATTTGCCGGTCATCTTAGCAACCACATAAAGTATTGACTTACGACAAATATTAATAAATTAATTTATATTATAACATAATTTTATTTTAAGCGGAGACTAAGTATTGTTAGACATAATATCAAATTTACAATAACTACTTATATAAACTATACTTAGTAACTACTTATATAAATAAGTAGTTACTAAGAATAATTTACAGCATAATGTTTTCCCACTTAATAAAATAAAAAAATACTACAATACTACATAATTGTGTATTGAACAATGTTGTTTCTTTTGAGATTTCAAAAAGTATGTAACTGGTAGATCGCACAGGGTTTCGTCAGTAAACAGTAGATCTTGGGTCTAGTCAAGTTAGCCACACCTTTTTTAGAGGAAACAATAAAGAGTATCTATCTATCTACTTGTACATTATATACTTACATTTAAGTACTATTACTGGTTTATTTTTTTACTTAAATAAGTAACATAAGAGTCGCAGCGACTAGGACGGTTCGGTTCCTATAAGAAGCGGCATGAGTAAGATAAAAAATACATAATAAAGAATGGGGGAAAGAGACAAAGTAGCTCACCTCATACGCTTTCTTTCCGTGTTCGTCGTGCTCCTCATAATGTTCCGACTTGTATTCTCTGGTACCACCTGTAAAATACAAATAAAATATACATATACATGTACATATATGTTACTGGATATATTATAATCTGTTTTAGTAGATTTTAATGAAAATTTAAACAAAAGAAAAAAATAACATCTCTTTTATTGTACATAAATAGATATTATATAAAATGCTGTGGTACATGTGTATGTGTATGTGTTACATGTGGTGGTACATGTGTATGTGTATATATGTATAATTATCCGTATATGTGTATATTTACCTTTATAATTGTTAATGTGTAAGTTAAATAATTTTTGTTGTATAAATTATATTGTGTTTATATGGTCCCATAGGACCAATTTATAAGTATATTCTTTCAGATAAAAAAAAGAATTTTTCAAATCGGTTCACAACTGACGGAGTTATGAGTTAACAAACATAGAAAATAATTTAACCGAGTTGAACTCTTTGAGGTTTGATTGTTTTTGAATTTTATTTTGTTTGAGTTCGAGTTGTTTACCTTATTCTTTATGAAGTCGAACGAAAATCGGAATAAACGAATGAAACTGCAATTTCATGTCATATCAAGCAAAGATATAAATAAAGATAGCTATACATTGCTTTCGCATTTGGTTTTCTAACTAACTTTAGTTATTCATAACTATATATTTTAATTACATCTATCTAATTATCTAGATACTGATCCAATAACGAATATGTTAAGTCTGTTATCCAAAAAACAATATTGGATAACAAACTGTAAACATATTTGAAAATAGATATCGGATCGACTAGGCCGTTATCGAAATGGGTGATGACCTTTGTTTCGTTATCAGAAGAGCTCGATATATAGATATCGGATCGGTATCCATATTATTTATGTCTAGAAACTATATGGGCAATAATCATCATCATCAATATCAGCTTTTAACTGTCCACTGCTGAAGGTAACCTTCCCCGTGGGGTAATATCTTATATATAAAATTCTTGTGTCACGGTGTTTGTTACCAAACTCCCCCGAAACGGCTTTACCGATTTTTATGAAATTTTGTATGCATATTGGGTAGGTCTGAGAATTGGCCAACGTCTATTTTTTATACCCCTCAATGATAAGGGTGACCCTCCTCAAAATTTTTTTTTTTATTTTTATGACAAATTTTTCCACTTTTATTTTATTATAATTAAGCATTGAAAAATACATACAGCTTCAAATTTTTACCCTTTTACGATCAGCCCCTGTTTTTTAATAGCGATTTTTATATTTCACAATAAGTGTTTTCTTTTTATTACTTTATTATTTATTATTCTTTGTTTATACATATCTTATGTGTTTATACAATGTTTTTTTTTTATACAACTTAGAATGGCAAAGAAACTGACTTCCCACCTGATGGAAAGTGGTAACCGTCGCCTATAGACATGAGCAGTACCATGGACATAACAGAGTATACTGTTTCGCCCATGATACCCCCCATGCGTTGCCATTCCTGAGGACTCAGGTGTTATTACTCTGTAACCTGTAAATTCACGCCATGTACGCAGATCGTATGATTGCCTATTTTTATTTTTTTAAATAATTTAAAATTTAAATGAAAAGGTTTTGCTGGAAGAAATCTCTTATTTGAGATAAGCTCGCCTTTGTACATTATGTTTATAATGAATTGCGGTTAACATTATATTATGTGTACGATAAAGAATAAAGAAAGAAAATCTTTTCCTCTATTCAAAGAACTATTAACTTTACTAATTGATTGATCGATTGCCTTTCTTTTGTTAAGTAAAATTTGTCTAAAACTTTCCAATTTTAATTGACATTAGGCTTTTAATATTTTATTGATTCGTACTCAGTTAGAACATCGTGGTTAACTGGTTTACTAAGAATAAGGTCCATGACTAAAGATCTATAGGCCACTCATACATAATTATACTTACATAATTATTATATAATTTAATTATAATAAATACAAACACACATACATACATAATAAACATCACATAAATATGTACATTTATATTATTATTAAATATATATATATATATATATATATATATATATAAATCATCTATCTATTATCTATCTCTATCAACTATAATAATCTATCATTCTTCTTTCACTCCTTCTTTCTATTGTGTTGTTGTATTGTGTGTATATCTGTCCTGTGCATTAAACCACTGTGCTAGCTACTAGGACTGCTTATTTTCACCGCTTGTTCATATCATCAATCTGCTTTATATTATTCCCAATTTCGTGTATAATATAGTATATATCATATATGTGTAAGTATATTTGTTATGCATATATATTTATTCGTTTATATATGTAATTTTAGTATGTATGTATATCAATAATTACTAGTACCGCATTCGAGTATTCCGACACTTCCCTATGGTTGACTGGGAGAGAATGCTTTTAGCATTAAGTCCGCCATGTACACATATGTATACATGTATTGTTTTATTTATTTATTTATTCATTAGTACAAATATTGTACTAATGAATAAATAAATAAATAAATAAATACCATCAACTCGCATCTCACATGAACATCCATAGATCCATAAATCCTAAAGGTTGATTTATAGAGAATGTTTATTGCATTGATTCCGTCTTTTGATTTTGACCACATTTCATTGGTCAATAAAGTTTAAATAAAATGAATAAGACTTTGTTCACAAATTTGTAAATTCACTGCCATATTCCACCCTTCAAACCGAAACGCAACCATGCAAACACAACTGTTTCACGGTAGAAACACGATTGGGACAGAGGTGCACAAGCAAACGACTTTTGTACAAAGTCTCCCTCTGTTAACGTTACTTACCAGTCGACCATAGTCAGGAATAAAAGGAATTATAATTGATGGTATAATTTATTTCACAATATTACATAAAGACCTCTGGTAAAAAAAAAAAACCACACTCAATGTACTTTTTCTGTATCTCAATGAATTTTACTGATCCTTTATCGAACAAATGAAGTCGCAGACTTACTATTTATATTTTATAAACACTTTCAAATAAATAGAACTATTGTTCATTAGCTTATTGGATGCTGCCGATTTTTATTATAATAGACATCTGCTCTCCAATAGACTTCGTCCAGCTTTTTTTTTACGGTTTGCGGTACAGTATTTAAGGCATCCCGTCATCGCTATTGGATACGGGTGACGGAATGCTTTCGTCCAGCTGGCGCCACGAGTAATAGCTTTAAACTAGATTTCCAATGATGGACTTTTTTTTTTATTTATTACCAGTTTTTATTAGGCACAGTTAATATTAGTATCGCTCCGTTATTTACATATGTATTAGCTTTTGGATATTGAGAGCAAAAAAGGTCATCACCCATTTCGATATCGCCCATACCAGTTATATATGTATTTTATTTCTATAATAATTATAATGATTCGGTAATTGCATGGCTGTGTTTCGATTTGAAGGGTGGGATATGGCGTTAATTTACTGGGTACAGAGGAATAACACCTGAATCCTCAGGAATGGCAACGCACGGGGGGTATCATGGGCGAAACAGTACACTCTGTTATGTCCATGGTACTGCTCATATCTATAGGCAACGGTTACCACTTTCCATCAGGTGGGCTGTCAGCTTGTTTGCCATTCTAAGTTGCATAAAAAAAATATTCTACTAAAGTACCGTGTGTGTCTCGGCATAGAATGGCCTATTCTATGCCACCCCTTCCTTTCCCGTGGGTGTCGTAAGAGGTGATTAAGGAAGAGCAAAGGATGAGCGGCAACGTTCCTCTTAAAACATCTTCAAAGCCAAACTACGGTTGCTAATCTGCCTGACAAGTATGGCAACTACTGGCAAAACCTCCCAAGGGGAGGCTTATGTCCAGCATTGGACAGTTAAAGGCTGATATGACGATGATATTATTTTAGTTATTCGTAATCACGTGACCCTAACGTATCAATTTATGACCCATAAACGGTAATTAGCTAATTGGTCACCTCTATGCTGTATTAACGTTACGCAAGTGGTCATCTGGTAGTACTGTGATTAATCATTTAATATGAAAGTGGAAAAAAACGAAAGTGGAAAGTAAACAGTGGTGACCATAACGGATTGTTTTGACGTGCAAAACTATAATCCCTGCCAATTTTTATGGCTAATAATGGACTGGTAACCCCGCCTGCGCCATCCGTGTATACTGGCGGGGCACCAGGAAAAATGATAGATGAAAAAGAAAGCAGATCTTGTACAAAGATTTGCTTTTATTTTCACTTTGTTTGAGACTTTGTACAAAAGTCGTTTGCTTGGATACCAATGTCCTATTCGTATTTTAACCTTAAAGCTGCTGTGCTTACATGGCTGTGTTTCAGTTTGAAGGGTGGGATATGGCGTGAATTTACTGGGTACAAAGGAATAACACCTGAGTCCTCAGGAATGGCAACGCATGAGGGGTATCGTAGGCGAAACAGTATACCTTGTTATATCCATGCTCATGTCTATAAGCGACGGTTACCACTTTCCATGAGGCGGGCCGTCAGCTTGTTTGCCATTCTAAGTTGTATAAAAAATCACATTATCTTTTAATGTAATAACTATCGGTTTAACTTGCGTGTAATTCGAAAAAACTCGACTAGTTTCGGATTCAATTCGTGATCCTTAGTCATGAGCGACTGTGACGCGAGCACGAGCCTGACTGCATGTTTCTTTGGTGAAAATGTTTAGTTTCACTAATAATTTCACTCCTTAATTGCTAACGATTTTAATTACACTCTATATAAAGATTAGGATAAATGCGTAATCTTAATAAATAAAAAAAAAATTGCCATTATTATGGATATAATGAAACACATTCCCTTCCGCTTTCTTCTCACCAAATCAATTTAGCACAATCTAAGTAACAATCATTTGCGGTAATAATGCAATTTGTTACGTTACATGTACAATAATAATAATATAACAAAAGAGGGAAAGTTTTTTTTTTATACAACTTAAAATGGCAAACAATCTGACGGCCCACCTGATGGGAAGTGGTAACCGTCGCCTATAGACATGAGCAGTACCATGGACATAACA